ATGAGCTAAACCATAGCTAAAAGCAGAATGTACCAAAAGTGTAGCTAAAAGTTATAATGAGCAAAACCATAATTAAAAGCTAAAATAGTAGCAAATTTTTCAACTAAAAGTTAAAATAAACTCGTAAATAAAAGCTAAAATGAGCAAAACCTTAAATTAAATTTGAAAGTAGCTAAATCATGACTTAAAACTAAAATTAGCAAATTTGTTGGTAAAAGCAAAAATTCGGGGGGAAAATTTTCTAAAAGCTAACAATAACAAACCAAAAGTAAAACCTAATATTATTCAAACTATAGCTTAAAAAAACCTAACATGAGCTAAAGCATAGTTAAACACAGAATGTACCAAAAGTGTATAGTTTTCTTTCAACCTTTATTTAATCAGTTTAGTCCCATTGAGCCATGAGGACTCATTTACAAGAGAGACCTGAAAGTATAGTCTAATAGTTTAATAGTCAGCAAACCCATAATTAAAAGCTAAAAGCAGCAAAAAAGCAACTAAAAGTTAAAATAAAGTAAAAGCTAAAATTAGCCAAAGTGTGGCTAAAAGCTAAATGTAGCAAAAATGAAAGCTAAAATACCAAAACAAAACCTGAAAGGTAAAGCAGCTTCTAACAAACAAGTACAGTTAGCAAAAATAGTGGCTAAACACTTAATGTAGCATAACTAGAAAATAGATTAGCATACAGAAGCTAAAAGGAGTGTACAAAGGCAAAACGAAGAGCACGCATGCTCAAAATATCTGTATCATAGTATTGCAGAGCATCTCAGAACCACTGAACAGATCTTCATGAAACCTGCATTATTTTATTTGTGATGTGTTTTTATATTTCATCTAAAAAAGTTGGATGTTTTGGTGAAACACTAAGAGAACAAAAAACAATTGAATTCACAATATACAGACTCACTCACTTGTTTGATTTTTAAAGTCAAACTATTTTTTTTTTTTTACTGAGAAATTGAGACGCATTATTGTTATGGCAGAAGAGAGTATACTATCCAGCAGTTCAGGCCTCTTGGTTGCAGAGCCGGCTTCTTTACAGAGGAAGTGGATTTGTGGAATTGTGTTGCTTGGCACCGAACACTGAGATGAATTTGTGATGGACCCTTCAGCTCATAACTTTACGAAGAATCTTGTGCAGGACAGGAAGGGCTTGATATTTGACATTTACAGCAATAAAACCCAAACAAAACAGAAAAAGGAAACGAGAAACAGTCACCCAACCTGGAAAACCTGAAAATCAACATACAAAAATAAACGGTTTCTCTTTTTTTTTATTAAACCCAGACTTTAAATGATGGAATTTTACTAAAATACTTTACTTTGGATAAATTTAAGATTGGATACTTTCCTTGTATTTTTGGTATTTCTGTATCACCTTTAGGCAAGCAAATTTGGGAGGAATATTTTTAATGTATGCATTTATGTGACAACATTAAGACCATCATAATAATAATAATTATAAATAAAAACACTTAATGTACGTGTTGTCTATGTATGTCAGAAAAAGACACAGTGGGGTCAAATTAGCAGCTCTCTTAAAAACATGGTAAAAATATTCTCTCTCTTGGAAGGTTTATGCTTTTATTGCTGTCATATTGCTGTCACCAATTACCTATGACGTAAGCAAAGGACAACTCCGTAGAGTAGAGAGTCAGATTTGGAGAAAAAGACAAAATGGAGACAGAGGACAACACTGTGAACAGAGAAAAGGACGAGGTAAAGGCTGAGGATGAGTGCACGTGGAGGAATGTTTCGTGTACAGAGGGCGAAAAGGAGACAGCGTCCAGATGCAAACTTTGTTTGATCTCTACAGTGATGGAAGTTTACATTCAGCATCTAATCTCAAAAACATATTGTGGTATACAAGGTTTTACAGCTACCCGTATGATATTGCTTTTTTATTGTTTGTATGTGTGAGTTAGCTAAGATCTTAGATATCGTCACTGCCATCGGTTTAACTGGTACTAAAATAAGACAGAGCTTCTGAGCATCTGAGAAATGTACTTTGACTGTAATGATTATATACAGTAAATCAAACTGAACGCCTTCTGTTGACAACACAATAAAATATCAGTTGGTTAAAAAGTCATTAATACTCCGAGTAGTTTTTGAGAAGAGTACTTTGTACTTTTACTTAAGTATTTTTATAACACCAGTACTTTTACTTGTAATTGAGTACAAATTAAGCAGCGTAACAGTATTTGTACTTGAGTACAAATTTTCAGTACTCTTTCCACCTCTCGTTCGAGCTTTATCCACCTTTTTATAGCCCCCATGGTGCATTGCGTGTATTATGGACACGACTTCCAACAAGGACCAAAACCGGTGTCTGTTTATGTGCTAACAGAATGAGCTAATGTAGTTTCTCCATCCATCCATCCATCCATCCATCCATCCATCCATCCATCCATCCATTATCTTTACCCGCTTATTCCATTTTGGGTCACGGGGGTCGCTGGTGCCCATGTCCAGCAATCACTGTGCGAGGGGCGGGGTACACCCTGGACGGGTCGCAAGTCCATCACAGGGCCACATAGAGACAAACGAGACAAACAACCATTCACTCTCTCACTCACACCTAGGGACAATTCAGAGTTACCAATCAGCCTAACATGCATGTTTTTGATCTGTGGGAGGAAACCGGAGTACCCGGAGAAAACCCACGCATGCACAGAGAGAACATGCAAACTGCACCCAGAATGGCCCCCGGATCGGCAGCAGCTCTACCAGTTGCGCCACCGTGCTGCCTTTTTCCAAGCATTATTCATTCAACCTTTATTTAGACAGGTAATCCCATTGAGCCTCGAGGACTCATTTACAAGAGAGACCGGATTTCAACAAAGAAAGATGACAACAATGGACAACAGCAACAACAATAAACAATTATAAAAAGTCATACTGCAGTTTTTTTTTTATTTTTACAAATAGGATGGCTAAAAGAAAGAGTTAACAAAAAACAGCTAGATTCTAAGGCGAATGTAGAAAACTAAAAACAGGAGTCCAACAGATTCTTAAAGCCACTTAGAGAGGACAAGGTCGAGCATATTTAGCTACTTCACTGACTCGGTTCTTCCGACGATGACGCGATGCACAACCTGAAAAGCTCAGAGGCGTGTTAGTATCTACACAGTAATAAGATGATAAGTCATGTTTTGTTAAAAGAAGTGGGACACAATCATATTTACCGTAAAGCAGACACAGAGCTCAGCCTTAAAGTCCTCCAGCACAAAACTTGGGTTAATTGCAGAAGAAATCGTAACACCGAAGACGAACAAATACTATAATGCTGTGCCCTCCATACCCTTGAAATCATACCTGATATGTTTTCAATCAGAGGATCCGGCGTCTCTTCTTCGGTGGTTTCTTGTAGCCGCCCAGATCAAAACACTGTTGTTTTAGTCACTGACTTAGTTTGGTCTGGTTGTTCGTGCAGCCGCGAACAACTCAACAGGTACCTGAACTCTCCGAGACGATTTTAGTAAACTGTATGGTTGTTAAATAAATGTAAACAAAAACAAAATCAGTGTTTTTTCTACTAAACTGAAGGCAAATTACTTTCAAATAAACTGCGGTCCGTGCCGCTACCATGGTTAACCAGTCCTTACTGCTACTTCCTGTGCCTGACAGGAAGTTGTACCCAAAATCATTTTTACAGTAGAGCCCCCAGGATTAAGGTGGATAGGAGAGTGTCAAAAAACTACTGAGGAAAACTCACATTAAATCTTAACTAAAGTTTCTAAACAATGCAGACAAACTTGACACATCTCAAATTACTTCTATGTCTTGATGATGGATTTACCAGAACTCCTGGAGACGTTCAGGGCTGTCCTTTTGTCATTTTAAGGGGGTGAATATTTATGCAATCTCTTATTTTTTTGTATTGCATGCTTTTATTTAGTTGGTATTACTCTAGAAAATTGTTTATACTTTGACATTGAACAAGATTTTTTTGAAATTGTTTTTGTAAAGAGAGGCAATTTAAGTGGACCATGAGTGATCAATGTGTGAAAGCATATAACAACCAAGGGTGTGAATTTTTCTATAAGCACTTTAAATTGGATGTAACTAATGTCTGGTTGTGTCTGAATGACCAAAAAGCATCTAGAAAAGACCTAAAACATAAAGAATATAACATTTTTTGGTATTGCTTCAACTTGAAAGAAAAAAATGTGTTCTTTAGCCAAAATTATAATCTCATAATTTTGTTAAATAATGTATTAATCATGTTAGACTGCTGGTGCAGTGCTGACCCAGAACAGTGGCTGGTCCTGCACATCTGGACTGTAAATGAGGCGTTCGGACCGTTGTTTCCCATGAAGGCTCTTCAAGGACCGGTGACACGTTTATGTCCCCGGGCAAAAAATACCAGAGGATGTTTGGAGGCTTTTTCTGCATGTGATCGGCCTTCCTCTCATGCTCTCTTTCCTTTGCAGCTCCCTCTGCCTGCCCCTCCCTGGAAGCCCCTGCTCATGGAACAAAGTTCGGCTCAAAGCATTTTGTTGGACACGAGGTTCACTTCACTTGCGCTCAGGGGTACCGGCTCGTTGGTTCTTCCACGCGAGCCTGCAGAGACAACGGCACCTGGACCGGTGTCAGCGCACTTTGTAAAGGTGAGCTGCAGAAAAAGTCACAATAACACATGAAATGATCCACAATAAATAAACTGCCAAACGTTGGTTAGACTGAAGCACGTTTGAACTCTGTGATTTTGTACACGCAAAAAGACATTTGCAATTAATTTGACAGGCTTTACTGCAGTGTTTTATTCCTTAAATGTTTAACTGTTCATCCCTAAGCTAAATTCCTCTACCCCTTATAAGGTTTCTGAGCCTCTGCCTTGATGACAAACTGAAAAAGACTTTGGCTCAAAAACCCAAACAGCTCCGCAAAAGTACACAGATAAGACCTTTCTTCACTTGTTAAATTGGTATTAAATGTCAGGAAAAAAAACGCTGCACTGCATTCCACTGTGGGATACCTTCCCTCCAGGTTTGCACTCTTCATTCACAGCAGCGGTTGGGCTACTGTAAAACGACCCCTCTCTGCTGCTCGAGTTTCTGTGCCTCCTTGGTCCGTTGGTGGGGTTACATCCAGCTAATATAGCCACACATTGTTCTGATAGCACTGAAGTATGCTAAGCATGTTGGTATCCAACTCAGCCTTCAGTCTTCTCTTCCAAGTGGCACCCTCAGTTGGATTGACAAGACGTTTCAAAATAACACGAGAAAACCCTGACTCTCCACACTGTAAGGCAAAGGTGGAGCTGTTTTACAATTGAATTCAATTTATTAAATAAGCCACGCAAGGACACTAGGAGATCTTCACCACTCAGATTTAATCCTTGGAAGGGGAGCAGCAATTGTAAATGTAAATCTCTCTTGTAAATGAGTCCTCGAGGTTCAGTGGGATTAACCTGTCGAAATAAAGGTTGAATGAAAAATTGAAAACAGGGATACATGATCCAACAATTTTCAGTCAGGTCAACTGTCCAGATGACCTGACTGAAAATTGTTGGATTGTATACCTGGATTATTGAGCACGGTCTGTTTTGGTTTTGAACTAGTTTGACTGTCGATGAGGATGAGGGCCAGCTTCAGAGGAGGGGCGTGCCAAAGACACCATCTTAGCACCAACATAACTGGTTTGTTCCACTTTGGAGTAAGCTGTTTAGGGGAAGAATCAGTTTTGTGTTGTGCGTTTCCTTGACTGATGAAGCCTTCCGGATGGAAGGTGAAACATTTCAGCAAAAAAAAGCAACTGTCCAGATGACCTGACTGAAAATTGTTGGATTGTATTCCTGGATTATTGAGCATGGGCTGTTTAGGGATACATGATGTTATGCCCTGATCACAAGTGTGCCCGCAGGATGCAGAGTTAAGAAAAGCTTAAATACTCATTATCAACAGAGGGAGGTCAAAACGACCTCTGCTTCACAGCTCACAGTTGTTGAAGGCGTCAGAGTTTATCAGTTACTAGTTATCAGACTCCTCTCTGAGTAGACAAAAAGACAGTTGAATTCACATACATGGTTCTATATCCATCCATCATCTTCCGCTTATTCCCAAGTCGAGTCGCGGGGGCAGCAGCTCGAGCAGGGAGGTCCAGACATCTCTTTCCACAGCCACCTCTTCCAGCTCTTCTGTGAGGATTCCAAGATGTTCCCAGGCCAAGTGAGAGACATAGTCTTGTAGATGAACAGATGCTCAGATATATTCATCATTTAACGCGGGTTCCTCATTTTTCTGGACTGAATAAAACGTGCATTGAATTTAAGGAAATGCAAACGTGAGACGTCATTTATATTTGACCCATCAAAATGAATGCGGTCATTTATTTACAGAATCAAAATTTAACATCAAACATTTACATTAATTTGGCAAATTATGAAAATAACAACATAAGCAATCAATCAGGAAAAATCATACGGCCATGATTTTTCCGTTGCTTCACCACAGCGATGTTATGAAAACTGTACAATTATGATCTTTTACCCACATGAATGTGGGTGAGCATTTTACACAGACATTTCTAAAATATCTGGAAGAATTTCTACTTGAGAGAAAAGTTTAGAGATGGAAAGAAGTTTAGAGGGAGTTAAGATGGTATGGGAGGGAAGAAATGTGTTCACCAGAATCGACACTCTCCGGCTTTCTTCAGCTTTTCCTTACAGTACACTTAGGTGATGAAATCGGCTCCTTTACCTGGAGATGACTCAGGTGGGATTCCGTTTAACGCACCCTTTCAGCGTCTCAGTAGGATGCTGTTACTCGTCCGAAGTAATGGCGAGGCTCTGTTCGACACATATTCACCTCAGTGGAAAATGTTATACTCCCATGGAACTCGGAAGAGCTCTGTTGTCAGGATCATCCCGTCTCTCACAGAACTGGTTGGACTGTGTATCCAGCAGAACTCCAACAGCACTCCATCAGAACTTCAACAGAACCAAGACCTAGCAGAACTGACAGAACCAAGCCCGAGTAGACCAGGAAGTACTGACATTTTAAAGAGCTGTTTCCCGGTTCACTTTTGGGAGTATTACCATTGGTCAGAACCGACCAGACGGGGTGTGTGTTGTGACGTAAGAGGTTAGACGAAAAACAAGAATTGTTATGGAAAGATCAGAAATGTTCTCACAGACAGAGAGAGTTTTGATTTGGCGTGTTTCAGAAACAGGTGCAAAACATCTATATTTACGTCTGAGAGGATTCTAAAACATGACAGTTTTAACATAACAACTTGTTTTTCGTTTGACTCCAACCTTGGGAACGCACACACTTGCTCATTCAAAGGCAGAAATCAGAAAATGCATAAACTCTGTAACAGCTTTGACATGAGAATAAACTTTGCAGGAGAATAAAATCATTACTCAGTTAATAAAATTGATTAGTTCACTGCAACATCTAAAATGGTTTGAACTAAGACACTTTGATTATCAACATTTGTAAGATAGTAATGATAATAAAAAGAGAGTGTTCTTTTCACTTGAATCTTCAAGAAAGAAAGTCTCAGGATGGGTGAACCTGTATTTATGTATTCAAATACATGAAATGACAGTTCCTGTCCCACAAGGTTCTAAAGGTCAAGAGTTTTGACCTTAGACTTAGTTTCGACGTAGGCCTAGTCCACTACAGTCTCTCCAGTGTGTCCTGGGTCTTCCCCGGGGTCTCCTCCCAGTTGGACATTCCTGAAGCACCTCCCTAGGGAGGCACCATGGGGGCATCCTTACTAGATGTCCGAACCACCTCAACTGGCTCCTCTCAACATGAAGGAGTTGCGGTTCTACTCCGAGTCTCTCCCGTATAACTGGACTTCTCACCCTCTCTCTAAAGGAGAGTGCAGCTACCCTGTGGAGAAAACTCATTTCAACCACCTGTATCTGCAATCTCATTCTTTCGGTCACTACCCAGAGCTCATGACCATAGGTGAGGGTAGGAACGTAGACCGACCGATAAACAGAGAGCTTTGCCTTACAGCTCAGCTCTCCCTTCACCACATCGGACCGGTACAGAGTCCGCAATACTGCAGATGCTGCACCAATCCATCTGTCAATCTCACACTCCATTCTTCCTTCACTCGTTAACAAAATCCCTAGATACTTGAACTCATCCACTTGAGGCAGAACCTCACCCTCGACTTGAAGAGAGCAATCCACCTTTTTCCAGTTGAAGACCATGGCCTCAGATTTGGAGGTGCTGATTCTCATCCCAGCCGCTATATTAATTTGACATTAGTATAGTGAAAAACATCCATGACCTTTACATCCCCCATCAGGAGCAATAATGAATTTACTAATGTCTGTGGACATCTACAACTGATTAACTTTTGGAGTCGACCTTACTCAAAATGGCTGCCACAACCAAGTGACCTTAAGAAACACAGAAATTGCTCTAACTCTGTCAAATTTACAGAGAATGACTAAGAATTTGGTGTAGTAGCTGTAGTTGCGAGTGATCCCCAACACTTTAATGCTTTAACAGATTGCACAAGATGTTTGTTTAAAAAAATACTATAAACTTTTTGGAGTCAACTCTGTCTGTTAGCAAAATATCTTATGAACCAGTGGATGGATTTTATTCCAACTTTTAGGAAATAATCTGCTGAAGTACTTCTATAAATGGAGCCAGCGTAACTCAAGATGGCTGCTACAACTAACATCTCTTCAGTTAGTTTTACAGACATTGAGCTAATATTTGGTGTGGTCGTAGAATTACAAGAACAGACTTTCGTTTACAAAACGCCCAAAAGTGGTATTAAAGAGGTTGAAAACCTCTAAAGCTGTAAGGACAGTTTAAAAATATCTCGAAGCTTTTCATGTCATTGCCCAGTGGTGGCCTTTTCGAGAAGCCAAATAGAAATTAAAGGAACTGCTTGCCTTTTTTATAGAAATACAAGTGCAGCTGCTGCTTCTTAATTTGTACATCTGCTCAGCTCTCAGGGCCAACTAAAAAAACATTATAAGACACAAATATATTCTTTGACTTAGAACATAAAGTGTTCGGAAGTATTTCATGTCAGAAATATGTCTTTATGTGACTGACCAGAGTGGCACAGAGGTGAAGTGGTTAAAGTTTTTGACTCACATCGAGTAGGTCATAGGATTGCTTCCCAGCCTGGGGGCTTTCTGTGTGAAGTTTGTACTTTCTCCCCATGTATGATTTGTACTGTATATGTACATGTACACATACGGTTTTCTCCGTGTACTCCAGTTTCCTCTCTCAGAACTCACTGTCGTTAGGTGAGCATGAGAGTGTGATGGAACAATGGTGTACCACAAGGCTCTGTCTTAGGACACACTCTCTTTACAATTTAAATAAGTAAAGTAGGTCAGAACATTCCTGACACATCCTTGCATTTCTATGCCAACATTACAGTTGTTTATTGTCAAACTGTTGTTCAGTTGCTAATGTTTTCCAGCATTTACAGTCTGCATTCAACATCATCCAGTCAGATTTTTTCCGCCTCAAACTGGTGCACTGATAAAACCAAAGGGATGTTTCAAACAGGAAGTCAGTACCAGCAGTCCTTCCTTCGATCTCATTTACAAATGGTGTTCCTGTTGAGTTTGTCCATTCTTACAAATATTTGGGAATCATGGTCGATGCACATCTCTCTTTTAATCTTCATGTCAAAAACTTGATAAAGAAACTGAAATTAAAATTGGGTTTCTTTTTCAGAAATAGATCTTGCTTAACTCTGAATGCTAGGAAACACCTTGTAACTGCTACTTTCCTTCCATCCATTGACTACGGTGACATTATTATTTACAGGAATGCTCCTGCAGGCACCTTGCAGATGTTGGACGCTGTCTATCATGGCGCACTAAGGTTCATAACTGGTTGTAACTATCGTACCCATCACTGCACTCTGCATTGATTGGTCAGTTGGTCATCATTAACGTCACACAGACTCTCACTGGTACATTTTCATCTTTAAATCACTTTTTGGTTTGCTACTTTCATATATCTCCTCCTAAATGTCAAGTTGTCAGTGCAGCTACAGCGTGCACTCTCAAGACATCATTACCTGCAGTGTCCCGTCAGTGCAGACTGACTTTGGCAAAAGGGACTTCTCATTCTGCGTTCCTGTAACCTGGAACACCTTGCAAAAATATCTGAAGCTGTCAACTTTGACCTCTCTGAGATTTTAAACAATTGTTAAGTTCAATGCAAAAATCACTGCAGACATGTTCCTGTTTTTAGTATTTTTACCCAGTTTCATAATGTAACTTGTTTTTATTTTGTTTTATATCACTACTTATATTTACTTTTCATTTTAAATGCCTTTTAGGGCTGTTTATTCTTGTGTACCCTATCTGTGGTTTTGTTTAAAATAGGTATTTCTTGAAAATGAGTCCTTGTGACTCAATGAGACTAACCTGTATAAATAAAGGTTGAATGAGTGGTTGTTCTGTGATGGACTTGCGACCTGTCCAGCGTGTACCTCGCCACTCGCACAGTGATTGCTGGACATGGGCACCGGCAACCCCCGTGACCCAAAATGGAAGAAACGGGTAAAAGGATAATGGATGGATGAGTGGTTGTTTGTCTCCATTTGTCCCTGCGATGGACTTGTGACCTGTCCAGGTGTACTCCCACTTCTACAGGGACTGCTGTACCAGTTCCTCGTGACTCAGAAAGGAAAAGTGAGTAAGGAAAATGGATGACAATCATAAAAATAATTCTCTTTTCCAACTGCAGATGTGAGCGAATGTGCAAGTAACCCCTGCCAAAATGGAGGTACCTGCGTTGAAGGTGTCAACCAGTACAGATGCACCTGCCCCCAAAACTGGAGCGGGTCACAGTGCCAGCACCAGACCCAGACAGGTCAGCGCCACACAAGTGGTTTGGTTTACTTGTATTTGAAGGTCAGTCTAATCCAGCTGTTCTTTATTTACGCAGCACCACCTGAGTGGAGCGTAATGAACGATCCAGCGTTTAGTCGGAGACCACGCTGTGCCCAAGTGAACCAAGCCCGACACTGCAGCTGTGACGCAGGCTTTCACATGAGTGGCACCTCTGACAACAGTCTCTGTCAGGGTGAGCTGTAATTACATGTTAACTTAAATGATCCATCCCTGTGGAGGAACTCTCGCTCTGCTGTTTCTCCTCTCAGGAAAACAAGGTCAGCTCTGGAACAGCACGGTTTCCTGCTCATGACATCCCTGAAGGGGCAAACAGCAGATGTTACAGAGACTTTACCAAAAAAAAAAAAAACATCAATGAAATCTGTTTTCTCATCTGGATGCAAAATGAGAGCCATTGTGTGAGAAACAAAATTAAAGAAATTGTGTTTTTCTGTGAACGTGCTTTATGAAAGCTGAGAGCTGAAGTTTGCAGAGAAAGTTGAAAATGATTTATTGAAGTTAAAACAAGATAAACAGAAGCTAAAAGGAGCAGACTGGTAGCTGGAATACAAAGGACAAGAGGAGTAAAGAAACAGAATCATAGCTAAAAGCTGAACTTAGCAAAACAGTAGCTGAAATCTAAAAATACCAAAACCATAACTTAAAGCTACCAATCGCTAAACCGAAATTAACAAAACTGTAGCAAAAACCTAAATTGACCAAAATTGTAGATAAAATATAAAATTAACCAAGCTATAGCTTAAAGCTAAAATGAGCAAAACTATAACTAAAAGTTAAAATGAGCAAAACTGTAGCTAAAAGCAGAAAATACCCAAATTGAAGATAAAAGCAAAAATAAATGAAGTTGTAGCTATAAGCTGAAATTAACTAAACTATTGCTAAAATCAAAAATTAAACCAGCAGTAGTTTGTAGCTAAACTAAGCTAGACAAAAGCTAAAAGCTAAACATCAAAACAGTAGTTGAAATGTAAAAATACCCAAACCATAGCTCAAAGTAGCTCAAATAAACTGTAGCTAAATCCTGAAATTAACAAAACCATAGCAAAAACCTAAATTGACTAAAATTGGAATTGTAAAATTAGCCAAAACCATCATCTCCAGTTAAAATTAGTGAAACCTTAACTTAAAGCTAAAATTAGCAAAACTGTAGCTAAAGGCAGAAAATAGCTAAATTGAAGATAAAAGCAAACTACTTTCTCAGGAGGCTCAGACGGGCTGGACTGGGAAGCTCAGTCCTCACCTCCTTTTACAGGTGTGCAGTGGAGAGCATCCTGTGCTCCAGCATCAACGTGTGGCATGGAGGCTGCACAGCTGCAGAAAGAAAAGCTCTGCAGAGAGTGGTGAAGGCTGCACAGAAGATGTTGGAGTCAGTCTCCCCACCATCACAGACATCTACACCTCCAGATGCAGGAAGAGGGCCACCTGCATCATGAAGGACCCCACTCACCCAGCGCACATACTTTTTGCTCAATGCGAAAAAAAATCACTGTAATGTCACTTTGATTGGTGATATGTACTGCTGATTATCCATGCTGCTGATTATCCATGCTGCTGTATTCATTCATACTCATCTACTCACTCAGACTCATGTTCGTGCTGCTGTTGTTCGACCTATTGTTTTACATTATTAGTGTTTAGCGTATATCTTAGATCTTTTAGCGTACCATTTGGCATTCGTTTTAGTGTATATCTTAGATCCTTATTTAATGTTTCCTTTTACACTTTATATTTTTGCTATTGTTGGATTTTGTTCCACCTCATGTACCACATGTGATGAAATGACAATAAAACCTACTTGAACTTGAAAAATAAATAGCTATACTGTAGCTAAAAGCTGAAACTAATTAAACTATTGCTTAAAATCAAAAATTAAACCAGCAGTATCTAATAGCTAAACTAAGCTAGACAGAAGCTAAAAGCTAAACTTAGCAAAACAGGAGCTGAAATCAAAAATTTGCTAAATTATAGCTCAAAGGTAACACTAGTTAAAATGCAGATAAAAGCTAAAATTAGCAGAACTGTAGCTAAAAGCTAAACTGACCAAAACCATGGATACAAGGTTTAAAAATATCAACTCTAGTTAAGAGCTAATGTATCAAAATCAAAACCACAGCTAAAAGCAACATTTTGCAAAACATAAGTTTAAAGCTAAAATTTGCTAAACTGTACCTAATTTCTAAAAATTACAAAACTGTAGTTAAAAAACAATGGGGGAGTGGTGACGCAGAGGTTAGAAGATGGGTCTGTGATCGGAAAATCGCAGGTTCAACTCCCGGTACCATCAACATCAAAATGTGGGTGGAAAAGGTGAAACACCCACACCTGCCTCCACCCTCATTCACCCCACTCTGGGCCCCTGAGCAAGGCCCTTAACCCCAACCATCTGCTCCCTAAACAGGTCTCCCTTGAAAATGAGTTCTCGTGACTCAGTGAGACTACCTGGATAAATAAAGGGTAAATAAAAATTTAAAAAAATTTAAAAAGAGCAGAATTGCTGATAAACTGAAACAAGCTTTTCTATAACTAAAAGAAAAATTAACTAAAGCATTGCTAAAACAATAGCACAATGGTAGCTTAAAACTAAGCTAAGCAAAACTTTACAGCTGAACAGTAGGTTAATTTAACAAATACAGTAAATTAAAGCTAAAGGAGCATGACATGGAGCAAGAATGATTTGGATTTCAAAGAGAACAATGTCGAAGGATTTAATTTGGGATTTTTTTCAAATGAAATTTTGAGACATGAACGATAAATTAGCACAAAGTACACATATCTAGTTTGATTACAAAAAAAAAATATATATATATATAAATACATACACAGGAAAGCAACAATGTGAATGCTGACTCAGCACACACATAATAATCTTCTTGAGAAGTCACGAGCTGATTAGCATCCGTTTGGGTCAGAGTTCAATTGTTTTAAGTTTTAATTGCTTGAGTAACATTTCCATTAGAGGATTTATTTTTACAGTGACTCAAAGCGCACTCATTTATGAGTTTCTTGGAGAAAAAAATAAACTAAATAGGTATAAAATCCTCAGAGGAGTTATTTTACTAGTGTTGTTTTTTTCAACAGATGTAAATGAATGTGAAGTGTACCGGTTGGACCAAGGAGGGAAACTGTGTGTCCACGAGTGCGTGAACGTCCCAGGCTCTTACCACTGCTCTTGTCCCAGCGGTTACAAGTTACTTCCAGATGGGCGGAGCTGTGAAGGTGAGTGAAAAGGTTTAGTAGACAACAAAGACTCATTCACGGGGGTCTTGGTTGCACAATACTTGTGCTTTACTAAGACGAGGATTCTTTAGAAGCAAAGATTTGCTTTTCAGCTGAGGTGTCTTAATGCCGCCACACTTTCGCAGTTCCCCATAAGCTCACTGTGTCTGTAACTGGAACATATGACCTCACCTTTTCCCAGCAGAAAGGATCTTTGGGACACGAGGCACTGTTGGAAGACTAAGCTAAAAAACTAAATAAAGAGCCGAGCACCCCCTGTCCAGACCACAGCAACCAGAAAGCAGGGAGTCAGTCTGGCAAGTTCTTCTTCCTGTCTTTCATTTGTACATGCCTCTAATGTTTTGTCTTCCAGATGTGGATGAATGTTTAAGCCAGAATCACAACTGTAGCCAAGGGACATCTTGTGTCAACACGGGGGGAGGCTTTCGATGTGTCAACCCAGAGTGTCCCCGATCACATGGCAACGTCAGCTACGTCAAGACATCTCCTTTGTAAGTGAATACGCCACAATGTGGTTGTATTGTTAATTTGGGTATATAATAAAAATAACTAGAACTGCATTTATAAAAAGGTAATTTGTCTAAGAAACAAGACCCAGCAGTGAGGAATAAATGTGAACATCTTGACTCATTAATCAGCTGATCACTTCACTGTTCAGGTTCGGCAGTGATCCAGTGACCCAGCATACTCAAAACAAGGTTGAAGAGCTCAGATGTGTGTCTTCCACATGGTTTACAGCTAAACTCTTTAATGTAAAGGGAAACTCAAGTTGTATGCAAGTTTGGACCTATTTGTGTTGCAAAATGATTGTATTACGTGTTGAATCATTTCTCATTATAGAAAAACATCAAGGTATATTTATCTGTTTGCAAAAGCAAAAATAGGGTCCCAACCACAGAACTCATACTTTGGGTTACCTATTGTTTCAAGCTTCTTTTGACATTTTTTTTCATTCCCATCTGCTTTGCTTCTTGGAGCCAGGATTGATATGCTATACAGCACCCTTTGTGTTTCATTCACAGAACTCACCTGTCACTAAACACAACCGAGCCATTAATTAATGCTCTAATTAAAGATTTAGTTCAGTTCACAAGAATTATGAGAATTGATCCCTCGATGTAAAGTTAAAAAAGGCAATTAAAATAAAATGGCTGTAAATGTTCTTTTCTGTTATGCTGTTGTGCAGCATGAGGGCCGTTTGCGTCCCTTGGAGTAAGGCCCACAACTGCAATTTAAGAACGATATAAATTTGGCCTACAGGCTTAAGAAGTTGATGCAAATGTAGACCTTTTGCAAATTTGACAGTGAGACTATTAGATATATATATACTGTATAAGTTTTAGGTTCAACAGCAAAACAATAAAAAAAAAATCTCAAAATGAGCAGTATTAGGTATAATACAAACCTTTGGCTATAATTAATCCTATTTTTTTTCTATTTCATGGTAGAAATAACTACAAACCTGCACTGACTTTTATTAAAAAGTAGACTTTTGGATAATCATCCATTAAACTTGGCTAAATATAGCAAGTGTTTTAAAAAAGGCACTTGATTTATTTATCAATAGAGGCAAATTGGGAAATCTGTTTTAGCGACGGCCAGTTGAACAATTTTTCTGTAGTTAGTTGTTTGGACCATGGATGGCACAAAAGTGTGATCAACCCCCTTTTTAAAGATGCATTACTCATATCTCACTACACAAATAGCATTTTTTAAATAATTATTATCTTAAATTCACGTTGTTGTGGCCCGCAAGTACTTTATTCTTGACAGTTTTGGTCCACATGAAAAAGTTTGGACACCTCTGGCCTAAAGGCATCAATAGAGTGTTTGCTCAGCAAAAACATGAAAAATTGCCTGACTACAAGCTGCAAGATGTAATGAGATCAAGTTTTCCCATCCTAAGGTGTCAAAATTTATCCTGAAATTTACATTCTGGTGAGGATTAAAGGTCAAATCATCATATGGTAGTACAGAATTTGTCCTTGGTCGGCTCAGTGCTAAAGTTGATGTGAATCCAAGGCTTTCTTTCTTAAGTAAAATATTTGCATAAACAAGTAAAATCACACCAAGGAGTTAAATAAATCACTGTGGCAAATAAAATGCATGCTTGACAGAACAACTGCATTAGACCACCATGGGCTGCTCTGGAACGTTACTGCTCGTTCCTGTTTACTGGTCATTAGCGGGCCGAATGACTGAAGCGCATGAAACAAAGTCTGTCTGTTGCTACTGAACCATCAACACAGTGAAGTCCAGTTCCAATATCAGCACTGAAGAGAAGATGAATAAATATTTGAGAAAATACTTGAACCAAAAGGGAAAAACTGAAAATTGAGTGCCATGGATTTAGCCAGCACATATACTAATAATGTTGTTATTAGCTTGGAAAAAATGAGTTAAATTAAGGTTTCACATATGTGACCCATCACATCACATCAAATCAGGGATTAAATCATATTTGGCCAAACTAAATAAAGCACATTTTCACATTTCTGGCCTTTTAAACTATTTTGATATCTCACTCTTCCTGATACCATGAATAGTTCCAGAGTTATGGCATAATTTTTCCTGCAAATAGGGAATACTCCTAAAAACTTGGTTGGAATCCTACTTTTAGCATACTCTAATGAGGATTTCTTGATATAATTTGAAAGAAGAAATCTCAAACTGTGGGATTCCAGTGTTTTTCCTCCTGCAGCTTCCTGAGTGGCAGGGTGGCACCATGTTGCAGCTGTGGTCAGTTCCTGTAATGAGCTCCAGGGGTATAAAAGGACAGCTGAAGTGTCCTCTTCTCCGCTGGAACATTGGCTAACAACTGGTATTTGTGACAAGCTTCTTGTGTTTTCCTAAAGATTAGAATTATACTTACCAGATTTTCTCTGTACCCTCCTAGTGCGATTCTTGAAGGATCTTCTTGGTCTTACCTGATCTCCTCCATGTCTTCAAGCCAAGTACTTTCCTGGAACTCCTGGTGCCACTTGACTTGAGCCTAAGCTTATTCTGCTGTTCACTTGTCTGCCTGCCTCCAACTTGCCTGTCAGCAATCCACAATGGTACCCATTACTACTTATCTCATCATCTCCATCCATGTCGCCAATAATACCTGAAATCCTCCATCCTTCTCTCTGTGGCACTGGATCACAAGGAACCTGTAAGGGAAAAGATCATATTTAATATTAATCAAGACTCTACATTACCTGTAACCATACTTACCCATCTCCCTCTTTTGCGTATCTTTCCAGTACCTCTTGTAAACACTACCTGTCAATAAACATCACTTACCTTTAATCTTGATTTGTTGAATTCTGTTACTCTGTTTCTCTGCTCTGGACATTTATTGTCGCAATTATGATAGAAAGTTCCAGCCAAGTTGCTTTGTCTCAGAGCAAGTCTGAAAATGAACACATTCATCACTCGTTCACCTCACATGTAAAATGTATAGATAAATATGAATCTACCCTTCAACAGATCCTTTCCCAGTAAAAAAAAAAACAAAAACAAAAAAAAACACCAAGATGTTTGCTATAGACCAGAAGATGGCCATACTCTATCTTCCTTCTCCAACCTCCCAGCCGAACATCTCCTTACATACATCTACTCCTGCTTCAGACTCCAGCACAGCCTCCACTCATCCTCAAGAATTTGATTGAGACCCTCAGAATTTTTTGAAGGCAACCCTAATCAGTGTGGTGGTTTTATATTACAATGTAGACTGGCATTCTGTAGAGCACCTATAATTTACTCCTCTAACAACTCCAAGATTGCATATGCAGTTAACTCTCTCTTGTTAGGCTTGTCGTTACCTGTATTTCCACCCTATCGAGAATTTTACATTTTCATGTTTTTCTAAATCTATCCTATGTGTATTTGATCATCCTCTCCAGCAGGAGGTAGCAAAGTGCCTCCTTTCTATGAGGCAAGGGTGGAGGTCAATTTCTGAGCATCCCATGCCCTTATGGATTACTGCTGAGGAGATGGGGAGGGACAAGCGTGCTCTGCGACATACGTTTGTAAATTCGCTTTTGGAGCAGATAAAGGATCAACATGTCACAAGAGATGAGTCGTGCAATTTGGATGACTTAAAAAACCTGGCCATTTGTATTGATAATCAGATCTGTGAGAGACGGAGAGAAAAGGACCACAGTTCCCAGTGATGTTTCATTTCCAGGTTCCATCCAGTGCTGGAGATTCAAACTCCTCAAACTTACCTGAACCCAAACCAAAGCCTATGCAGGACACACTCGCCTTACTCCTGAAGAAGGGCAATGATGAATAAATGTGAGGGAGTACATATACTGCTGCAAGAGCAGACATTTCCCTGCTCACTGCCCGGTGCAGGTAAAATGGCCATTCTCACCAGTAGGCCAGGAAATATTGGTGAGAAGTATTTTTTCTCCTGGCTCTCGTTTGGTGTTACCCACCAATGTGATTAACCAAGTAAAATTACCCATTTCAGCTCTTGTGGACATTGGGGAAGAATAAAACCTCATCATCAGCGATTTAGTGGACAAACAACTCATTCCTGTCCAGACTCTCACTCAACCTCTATCTGTTGCTGGCCTAACAAAAATCTCTCTAAGGTCCACCACAAGACTCAAGGACTTCACCTTATCTGGTAACCATTACAAGGAGGGTGATTTTTTTAAGTCTTTGATTCACTTACACCACAGCATGTTTTAGGATTCCCATGGTAACCCATGCTCAACTGATCTGAGAAGAGAGTGGATCAATGGAGTAAATTTTGTTTACTGCTTTTGTTCTGCTGTTACTATGCTGATATGTACCCCAAGGGAACTGATTTATCTATGGGTGCATTCACACCAGCCCTGTTTAGTCCACTTTAATCAAACTCTAGTTCATCTCCCAAGTCTAGGAGTCTTTCTGCAGCTCTCTTGGGGCCTTATCCCACTTGACGTCAGGATACCACTCCCAGTCTAATGGCCAAATGGAATGATTTAACAGGAGCTGGAAGCTGTTCTTATGTGAATGATTAACAATAACCTCTCATCATGGAACAAGCATCTGGTCTGGGTAGAGTATTCCCAAAACTCTCACCTCCTCAGCTACTGGTCTTTCACCATTTGAGGTATCTCTTAATTACTCACCACCCCAATCAAGAATATACCTTCTGTCCAGCATCATTTCCACCATTGTCTACGAGTGTGGCGTCAGATAAAGAAGGATCTCTTATGCACAGCAGACAAGAACAAAAAAAACATTAGCTGATCAATATCGCTCCGTAGCACCGACCTACCTGATTGGCCAGAAGTTATGGTTCTCCACATATGACATCAACATGAAGGACACCCCCAGGAAATTATCCCCCTGATACATTCAATTCAATTAAGTTTATTTATGTAATGCCAAGTCACAACAGAAGTTGTCTCAGGGCACTGTACAAAAGTGGATTCATAGGTCTATTACCCATTGAGAAGATTATGAATCTTTCTGCGGTCAGACTCAAGTTTCCCACCTCTATGCGAATTCATCCTACCTTCCATGATTCCCAAGTGAAATCTATTTCTGAGAGTTCCTTGTGCCCACCTGCCGACCTCCCACCACACTCCTGACACGTTGATGACTATCCAGCTTACACAGTCAGCTGTACTCTGGATGTAAGGTGCAGAGGTTGTAGTCTTCAGTAACTCATCGACTGGGAAAGATATGACCCAGAGCAGAGAGCTTGGATTCCCTGGTTTTTCATTCTAGATCTTAAGCCACATCTCCTCTTTTTTATAGAGACCACTCCGAGAAATATCCTCGATAGCCCAGAGGTGATTCTTGGGGGGGTGGGTGGTAGCGCTGTGAGATCCCAGTGTTTTTCCTCCTGCAATTTCCTGAGTGGTAGGGTGGCACCAATGAGCCTGCTGTGGCTAATTCCTGTAATGAGCTCCAGGGCTATAAAGGACTGCTGAAGTGTTCTCTTCTCCGCTGGAACATTGGATATCAACTGGAACTTGTGATAGGCTTCTTGTTTTTCTAAAGGTTAGAATTATACTTATCAAATTTCCTCTGGCCTTTCAGCCTGCCTCCAACCTGTCTGTCAACAATCCACAATGGTTCCCGCTACTACTTACCTCATCATCTCCATCCCTGCCACCGTATATGCCTGGAATCTTCTGCCCTCCTCTCTGTGCCGTTAGACCACAAAAAACCTGTAACGGAAAAAAATCACATTTAATATTAATCAAGACTCCACGTTATCTGGACCCATACTTACCCATCTCCCTTCTTTGCATATCTACCCAGTATCTCCTTATCTCCTATCTCTTTATATTTGGGTATCTTGGTCGACACGTATCTATCTTTTAAGCTTCACGTGGAAAATTCGGTAAAGAAACTGAAAGTTAAACTGGTTTTCTTTTTCAGAAACAGATCCTGTCTAACTCTGAATGCTAGGAAACACCTTGTAACTGTGACCTTCCTTCCCTCCATTGACTACGGTGATATTATTTACATGAACGCTCCTACAAGCACTCTGCAGATGTTGGATGCTGTCTATCACGGTGCATTAAGATTCATAACTGGCTGTAACTATCATACCCATCACTGCACCTTGTATTCACTGGTTAACTGGACATCATTAACTTCACGCAGACTCTCTCACTGATACATTTTCATCTTTAAATCACTTCTTGGTCAGTTGCCTTCATACATCTCCTCCTACATGTCACTGCGTGAGTGCAGCTACAGCGTGCGCTCTCAGGACATTATTACTTGCAGTGTTCCCTCACCGAGGACTGAACTAGGCGAAAGGGCCTTCTCCTACTCCACTCCTGTTTCATGGAAAGTCTTGCAAAAAGATTTGAAGCTCTCGACCTTGACCTCTCTAAGTAGCTTTAAACATGTGTTAAGTTCCTGGCAAGAACCAATGCAGACATGTTCCTATTTTTAGTTTTCTACATTGCCTCGTAATCTAGTTGTTTTTTCGCTACATTTCTTTCTCCTTTTAATCATTCTGTTTTCAATTGTAAAGAAAACAAAACTTAAATTTGTATGAATCATTTGTAAATGTCTATTGTTATCGTTGTTGTCCACTGTTGTCATCAATCTTTGTTAAAATCCAGGTCTCTCTTTTAAATCAGTCCTCGTGGCTCAATGGGACTAACCTTTTTAAATAAAGGTTGAATGACTCTCCTGTAACTTGTAAATAAACATCACTTTCCTTTTATCCTGTCATTGAATTTTGTTACTATCAGTGCCTCTGCTCCGAGTGTTTATCGTCACAATTATGACACAAACCTCAAACTACTGGAATTTCCCAGCTGGTATAAAATGTCTTTAATAGCATGCAGGGAAAGTAGCAAAAATTGATAGATTTTCTGCTCAAAATCATCATGTTGTTGGTATTGCTCAGAAAAGAGCTTCAAAATTTGGCATTTTATTTCAGACATTTCCTTCAAGAGATGCATAGATAACGTATTAATTCATTAATGTTTGACCAAATCCAATTATTCCAAATATTTGGATCCACTATCAATCCATTAGAACTTGCAACATATGTGCCACACATGTACATGACAAACCAAGTAATTTTTTTCTACACAAATAGTGAAATATGTTTACATTTATTATCTATTTTTTCTGCAGTCAGTGTGAGAGGAACCCCTGCCCGATGAACAGCCGTTCCTGCCTCTACGCTCCCAAGACAATGTCCTTCCACTTCCTGTCCCTGCCCTCCAACCTGCAGACTCCTGCCACTTTGTTCCGCATGGCAACCGCCTCCGCCCCGGGCCGCACGGGGCCCGACAGCCTTCGCTTCGGCATAGCAGGCGGAAACTCCCGGGGCATCTTTGTCATGCAACGCTCGGACAGACAGACCGGTGAGCTGATCTTGGTGCAGCAGCTGCGTGGACCTCAGGAAATCAGCGTTGATGTGGACATGTCTGAGTACAGTGACCGCACTTTTCAGGCCAAGCATGTGGCCCGGGTCCAAGTTCTTGTGTCACCTTACAGTTTCTGAGTGAGGAAGAGGGCTTGAGACTGAAACCTGCATAGGACCAAAGAGGAGCACTCACTAACTCTCACAAACTGAGTCTGCAGTCCTACGCCAGCATTTGATCATTGGCTAAATTTTCTAAAAGTAGATGCTTTTTACTGACTGCAAGTGTTTATAAGATCTGTTCAACTAAAGCGTGAGATGCTTAGATTTAAGCCCTGGAGCTGAATCAGTGTCCTCCACATATTAGTGCTCTCGTGGCTCTAATTTATTGTCATTATTATTATTGCTGGATCTTAATGTTTTTGATCTTTGTATACTGTATATTTGCTTTTTGTGTGTGTGTTTTGTACATTCTTGCTTCTTTATGCTAAAGGAGTGTTTTCTAAAAGTAGCTGCAGCAGTTTATCTGGTCTATTCTCTTGTACAGCTTGTACATTACACAGAAATGGTCTCATTGTATTCTAAATCAGTGACGATTTGGAGAGCGAGCCGATCTGCTACACAGTTGACCAGGAATTTTAATTGCCTCAGCATTACTCAAATAAAGCCAGTCCAAGATTTCAGTATTCGTTAGAACTTAATCTCTTGATGCTAAACAGTGGGCTATCAAACGTCCTTGTGGAGGGGCTTTTATTCAACTGCCTTTGGGAGTGATTTTTAATGCAAGCGTTGCTAATAAATGAAGGCTGGACGGCTACAAAAAGTTTTCTGAATGAATGGATAAAAAGGCCGGAGAAGAATGTGACCCCTGACCCCTCTGTGGAAGTGCAAGTCTTTTTCCACTTGTCTTGGGGGAATAAAAAGTATTTTTATTTGACAAATGAAGAAGGAACACCAAATGACACATTTTAAAAACATCTCTCAGCAAATGTTAGAGGGGAAAAAAGGCTAATGCTCACCACGTGTTGTACTTCACTCTGTACTCCTCCATCCAGGGCTTTACGTTGCAATAAAGGGGGCCAAAGAAGCTGCGTGCTTCCAGACAGGAGCGGATGGTGAAAATCAAAACACTTGCTTTGATGTTCCATTCGCCTCACTGACGGCCAGAATCACGTGGGAGCATAGCGCATTGTTGGGTTTCACTCTCGCACTGTTTGAAGTTCACATTTCATCAGTACTTAGACGAAAGAATATTTTCGGAGACATCTGGAGGGAGCTGAACTGTCGACGAACACGTGTCACTTGCTGAAGAGGAATCACAAAAGAAGTATTTTACTGTGGCCTTCTTTCTTCTGGCTTCAGTGCTGGTAGAACTTTGGACGACTTTTTTACTGGTATGAGTTGCCTCTGCATTATTTTTCTGGATTTAATAATAAATAAATAAATTAAAAAAAACACTAGAAACCTCTGGAAATCCTCAGAAATCTGAGCTGAGACTTGTACTTTGTTGCAACATTTTGTCCACTCAAAGTGGACTAATGTTTCCACAAAGTAAGTAGCTTGGACCAGTGGAGCAATAAATCTCATTGATCCGCATCAAGCAGATGTGCTGCTGCAGATATTTCACTTTTTAATGCTTCTGCAAAAGAAAGGAGGTGGACACATGAATAATCCACTTTTTTATATTTGTAAAAGAGAAAAGGTGTCTCAGAAGTGAAACAGCGGGTTGTTCTACGAGTCAGCATTCACATCCTGTTCGGACTCTGACTGCAAACTTTGTTCTACTTTAGCCAAAAGATTAAGCTCGTTCAAGGGTGCTCTGACTTTTGTTACTTTATACACTTTTCAAAACATTTAGTGGCACCTTTATAACTATTTTCCCCATTGAAATACACTGCTATCACATTTAATTATTTTTAAAAACATCTTTAGCTATTAGCTTTAACCTTTTAGCTAACATTTTACTATTTTTAACTGGCATTATGATGCTTTTAGCATCTAGCATTAAGCTATTTTCATTTATCGTACCACTTTTAGCTACAAATTTTCCTTCATTTAGCAAGCATTGTGCTCCTTTTAGCTTGTGTGCCCCATATTTTAGCTTTAATAACTCAATTTCAGCCTCTTCTGTAGTCTTTCAGCACTCAGCATTTCCACTTCCATGTTGTTTTTCTTAAATATATATATATTCACTCTAAGACTTATATGGGTTAATTTAAAAGTTACAGCTGAGGTTCCTGGCGTAGTTCAGAAAAAGGCCACAAATTCTACCTACCAGTACTTAAAATATAATTATTGTTCATGAACAGGCAAAACCTTCACTTAAAAGTGACCAAAAGAGGTCATGCACCTTACTATATCTTGTATATTAAGGCAAAACTAAGATTAACAAAGTGTGTGTGTGTGTATATATATATATATATGTATATATATATATATATATCTCCTTAGTTACAAACCTATTGAGGCATAAAACCTTGAAAACTAACTGTAATTATCTTAAATGAAATGAGGAAACACGTCTAAATTAAATATTTATTTAGTATACATGTTGTGAAAAAGAAGAATGCCCCTGTAATAAAAACATCCAAATCCAGTTCTTCATAAGATTTTTGAAGAAAAGAAAAATGTCTCTTTATTCAAAACACCTCCCACTTGTGGAATGATGAAATAACAGGAAAGAGCCTAAATCCATCCGTAAAAATGGTCAGCTGTAAAGTTTTGTGTAACGATAACGACCAACCGCCTGCCGTCAGAAGCAAACATTTCCAGGTTTCCGACAAACACACAAAAAAACAAGAGCAACAGGAACATAATAAACCCATTCAGGTGACCAGCTAACTCAAATCATCTGTTCTGACATCACCAGGACAAAAAAAAAAAAAAAAAAGCAAGTGCTATCACGTTTACCCAAAACAACACATTCAGACAACTCAAGAGACCAACGCTGACAAAGACATTTAAAAATACTTAAAAATGATTAAGACAAGAACGTTAAGGTGTCTGTGAATTAATAAAATCGATCCAAAAAGAACACAAACACTGCAAAACAAAACTGCAGTTAGACTTCAACCCGTCATAGGTAAATGGAAGTACGCAGAAACACAGTAAACAACCATTAACTTAATACACATAAAGTACAGTACACTTATAATGCAAATAAATAATGAATTCACTCTGAATTAATACACTTACAGCATGTGGCTCTTTGTTTAGAAGGGTCCACACGCCCACCCAACACCCGTACAGCAGATTCAAAACATGACACTAAATCTACACACCTAAATAACCCTGCTTCAGTCCAGTTTGTATATTTGTTACTGCTCTATTCTTGCATACATCGACTAAAGTTCAAGATGCTCGGTCATTCTGACGAGGCAAACGGTACCTTCATTCATGCTGTCCTCGAACGGTATAAAGAAATTAGACTTCACGCAAAGTAAGACGTAGGCACAGCGTTCATCTTCATAGTGCAAAAAGGTCTATCAGGGAATAAAATACTGTGCGAAGTTTTACACACACACGCCGTTTTCTCGAACAGTAAATCCAGAAAAATGGTTACCGTTATTAAATATTGCAAACATCTCCATTTTGTATTTATATACAATTTATATATATATATATATGTACATAATGATGGATGGCTGGAGAAAAACAAAACGGCAACCGTTGTATTTGAAGGCCGACTGCACAAATAAGTTATGAACTAAAGAAATAGGATTTTTAAAAATATTTTCTTCATCATATTTGACATATTAGATGTGATGTTTCTGCATGTGGCTTCCTGTTAGACCGCCAATAAAATAAATTCACGTAAACGAAAATAAATAAACATTTTTTTAAAAAAAACAGTCTCTTTGGAAAGATCAAAACTGGTTCAACATCTGAAACAGTGAACCAGTGTTTGTTTTTTTTGTCTGATATAAAAAAAAAATTAAAAAAAAAGTCAAATTCGGATGAGGTCCCAGAAAACTGCCGTCTGCACCGTCCTGTGAAGCGGCAGCCGCTCAAGACGTGCTCTGAAAAACTAAATGAAAAAAAAAACAGCTGGCACTTTGCAACCGTCCGTTGCTGCCGTGTTCTTCCACAATCTGCTGCAAGTGCTTCGCCTCACTCCAGCTTTGACATCTCGTACTTCGTCGTCATAATTTCCTGAAAAATATTACAATTTAGGTTAAACGTTATTTTAAATACCCCCCACCCCCACCAGAGCTGTCTGTAATTATTTAAACTAAAGAGGACTGAGCCTCACCCTCTCGAGTCAATCCAATACCCTAAAATTAATTTATTTTTAAATTAAACTCATCAGCTGAAATTATAGGGGACGTGCCCCCCCCACATTTAAAAAATATGAATTCAGAAACCCCCACATTTACCATGAAACATTAATTCACCCAGCTCTGTTTCTATTTCTTCATGAATGAATCCATTCCACTTGATTAATAGGAGAACACTCGTACCACTAACAATCCACTCCGGGTTTTCCTGGTTACCTACAGCTCCACATCACATGCAGTGTTTCCCCCAACGTCGTCTGCCTTAGGGTGCTCACGGGGGGAGGAGGGGGAGACACCTCTGTTTTGCGCACTAGCTTAGTGCACGTTAGTGCTGGCAGTTGTTCACCAGAGTGGGGGGGGGTTAGAAAGTGTAAGCAGCGGAGAGTTATGTCTGTAGCGTTTTAGCTAACGCGTCTTTATTACGCGCTGCTAGCTTAGTGCTACGTTACTTCTGGCAGTTTTCAGCACGGGGCTAGGATGCTTGAGAGCATGCTCCGTTCACAAAAGGAGAGCTGATGGTCAGGCTACTTCTTGTTGTGACGAGCTCTCTAAAATAGTTATTGAATCAAACGTTTACTTATGTAGGTAAACGTAGGTTTAACAAAAGACGTTTGCTTTCGATAAATGAGAAAAATTAATCCATTTCATGGAAATTATAGTTCCTGTGTAAAAGAAGAGAAAAGCTACGTTTATCTGTATAAACATTGAGACGTTTAGTTGGTGTTTCACAATCACCTATTTACATTAAGAATGTAAACAAATCTACAAATGACTGCAGTTACAGGACAATTAAATCCCCAAACGAGAACACCTTAAAAACAGATTTAACATCTAGAGCAGGGATATTCAACTAAACTGTTCAGGGGGCCAGTTACTGAAAGCCAAGAGCTCAGGGGCCCGATATCCAGCAGTTATTGTCATTAGGTAAGTTTGCTTTACGGTTTCAAATCTACCGGTAGCTTTATTTAAAAATGAGCCCATTGGTGGGCCGAACTGAGCTCACCCCTGGGCCTGATTTGGCCCCTGGACCACCAGTTGAAAAGCCCTGATCTAGAGTGAGTGATAAAAGTTCGCTTTGCTTTACAAATTCAAAATGGGGTCCAACCCTAATCCCGCCAAAATGTATTCCTAATAATATCACATGAAATCTATTTAAGTAAAATTTGGTTTTTGCATGTCTTCTGATGTGTTTTGTTTGTGATAAAAATCTTTTTTTTTTTTTTTTTAATATAATGTTCATACCTCGTCTGAGTCGAGCAGAACTGGGAGAGCTCTGTGGTGATAAAAACAGAGGCCGTTACGTTTTCACACTTTACAATAAAAAAAAAATTAAGATTCAATAAACTTTAAAGGATGCTTACACATCCGTGAGAGAACTAGGAATGTTGTCCTCCACCCATTTTAAGTCTTCATCCTGGAATAAAAAGTTAAAAAATAAAAGTCAGAGTAAATACTGCCACCTGCTGAAATGAGACATTTGGGGGGAAAAATATTTTCCAAACTTCGTTGCTTCTACTTGCTTATAGAAAGAGTAATTCAACTAGAAGAAAGTAGTAGTAACTTACGGGATTTGTTTCTGGAGGTTTCGCTGTGCCATTTGTGTCACTTTTAGCTGCTCTTAACTTTATACCGTCAGCTGAAACATGAAGAAAAATAAACACTTACAAACGAGCAGCCAAGTGTTTCAGGCGACTGTCGGAGCGTGACTGTACCGAGGTTTGTAGAGGCAGTGAACTCCTCGATCTCCTCATCGTCGGAGTCGTCCATGAGAGGCGTGAACGCGTACCTGTGCAAGCAGAAATCAAATGTTGAATTCAGCGACTGGCGGGGTTACGGGTGGGCAGTCGGCTTTTGTTGCTCACCTTTGGTTGTTGGCAGACGGTCGCCATAAAAACATTATGACGAGAAGAACGACGGAGAACAAGAACCTCCAGAACGCATCGTCTACCCAAAGTTCAACCCAGTCCTTCGAACAAACAAAGACCCGTTATCTAAAATAATTATCTTCTGTAAAACTATAAAAGTTAGAAATGTGCAAATAACATACTTACAGACTGGCAATCAGCTAAATGTAACTTTTTTGCAGACCAAGCCATAAAAATGATAGAAGCTGGGGGAGATAGAGTAATGGTGTGAAACTGACACTCAAAATATTCCCATATAGAATGCACATGCCATAACATTATGACCAGATAAATGAAGTGAGGAAACATGCTCATCACTCGACCTCTGACCTCGTGGTTGAACTGTTCATTTTTAGGCTGATGCAGATCTTTAGAAATCAGTGCAGATATACAAGGTTCAAGGTTCTTTATTGTCATTTGCATCACATGTGGTACATGAGGTGGAATGAAATTGTGTAGTCAAGGTCCCAGTTACACCCAAAACATAAACAGTATATAAGGATCTAAGATATATTGTATTTTCCGGCGTATAAGTTGTTGTTTTTTACATAATTTGTCAATCCTGAGACTTACATACTTTTTGTTTTCCATATTCATAACACGATTTTTGACTGACGCTTTAAATTTCTAAAAACTGCAACAGCGAGTCCTCCTGTGCGCGCTCGCTTCACTTAGGTGGTGCAGGCGGAGGAACGCTGGAGAGCGAGCGGCTCCGGCTGCGACGGATGGATGGCGCTGCGCCGCCCAGGCGAAATGAAGCTGTTTTGATCATTAAATAAACACAACGGGTCAGCGGTGACGCATACGCTGCAGCGACTTATACGTTTTTTTTTTTTTTTACTCTTCATGATGCGACTTATAGACCGGAAAATACGGTACGCTACACTAACGCTAAACGATCCGCTAAAAGATCCAAGACATACGCTAAACGCTAACGATGTGAAACAATACAGTATATTAAACAGCAGCCCAAACATGAGTCTACAGTTTTTCTTTTATTTGTTGCTATTTTTATCAAACAAATTAACCTTGTTTTACTGTTAATATGTTATTAACTAATCCTTAGAAAAACTTTACAATTAAAATTTATATAAAAGCGTCTTGCTTAAATAAAAACCTGTTATGGGTTATAGTAAGTTGGTTGCAGAAGTTGCTGCTGAATCGTTGCAGCTTCACACTTCCTATCTGTGAAGAATCACATCATGTTGCTGCTGATCTGTTTCATGTCGCTGCTGATCTGTTTCATGTTGCTGCTGATCCGTTTCATGTCGCTGCTTATCTGTTTCATGTCGCTGCTTATCTGTTTCATGTCGCTGCTGATCCGTTTCATGTTGATGTGTTCATGCGTTAGTTTAAACATTTGATATTACAAGGTTTCATTGTGAATAAAATGTGTTTATGAGATTTGCAATTTGTTTCTACTTACATTTTACACAAAGTTTTTGCCCTTTTGCCATCCTAATTATTAGAAACTTGATCATAACCTTGTGGCCGAGTGGTTTGCTCTATTAAAATGCAGACTTACAAAAGCAACTGGAATTCTAGGACCTACCGATGACAGCGAATATTAACGTGTTTGTGAAGTGCCTGTAGAGAGAAAGCTTCACGGGGTTTCTCCTCAGCTTCAGGGTTTTGATGGTTTGTGCCAAGCTGACAAAGATGTTCATGGCAGTCAAGGAAAACAAACATGCATCACCTAGAAACAAACAAGACTCCCCATGATGGTGCGCGTAAGAAAAGAAGCAAGGAAACGACTTTAAAAGCAGTTAAATCATCGATCAGACACAAAAACAAGCTGGTATCATTTTCACAACAAAATGACCAATTATGCCTCCTGGGATGAAGGATGTCTTCTCTGATACACTGAACCCTGTGCTCATTATAGAATGCGAGAAGCAAATGGGAACCACACAAGGAAAGGTTGCACGTGCACAAAAGGATATCCACCAGCATAGAGAAGAATCAAGCAGAGCCAGGGGAATGTTGGCCAGCAGGGCCAAGTCAGAGTCTTTTGTCTGGAGGGGAACAGAGCGCAGGAACAAAAAACACAAAGAAAAGGAGAAAGATGAGGCGAAACAACAGATCTCAGGTAGGGAAGACCATATATTAAATAAAATACACCACCAAATAAGTGCACAAAAATCAAATCATAAAATCCCAAAGACAAGAATACAGTAGCCCCTCGTTTATCGCGGTTTTTCAAAGTAAGACTGGACATGACACACAATTGGCTGATTGATGGATGAGCCGCACGATCTGCATGGAATTTTTATTTAAAAGAAATTATTTTTAATTATTCAGCACCTGCTGCACCTTTTGTGCAGCCCATACTGCAGGATAAGCTTCCTCCTGCAGCTGATCAGCTGATCTCCGTGCAGAGCGGAGAAGTGGGCGTGGCCGAGAGCAGCCGAGGCGTTTAGAAACATCGTTTAGAATATTGCAAGAGTGTTACTACTATTCCTAATTAGCGGTTTTTCACTTATCGAGGGGCTTCAGGGTACGGATCCGCCGCGATAAACGAGGGACTACTACATTCATAAATTATGCGACTCAGCAAACAGATACTTCATGTTTCGTTAGTAAAATAACTCCTCATTGATTAATACGCTGGAAGGATATGAACCAGATGGCGCAGGATTCAAACACAGCCAGAACAATTGCTGTAATGAGAGCCGGGCCATTGTCTCGACCCTTGGGTTTGTAATCCATTGTTTTAATGAAAATAAATAAATAAATACACAAACTGTGTTATCAAGTGAAGTGCTTGAAGACAAACCAACAAAAGCCTAAAGAACGTTCTTAGTGCTGAATATGACTTAAGTTTCAATCAAGCAGTGGGAAAACAACCTTAATAGTGAAACAAAGGAAACAACACCAGCTGATGAGAATTTCTTTAAGCTGAGGAATGTTTATCTTTCTGCTTTATATTATTTTATGAATGCAAGGTTTTATTTTCTTGGATTAAATAAGCAAAACGTTGCCTTCAGCTTCAGACCATATTGACGTTAATAAAGACTAATCTGAGTTAGAAAAACAAAAAGAGTATAACTCACCCCTGTGATCCTCAGGATGCCTTCAATGCTGGCAAAGGCAAAGTAAAGGAAGCCGAGCCCCACAACTCTGTGCATCACAGTTCCAAGTCGTGGCCTAAAAACAAGAAAGCATCATTGTGTGCATGCTGACTCAGCTTTAACACTCTTGTTTCCTGTTTGCAGTTTCCTCTGAATGTATTTGTCCATCAAAATACTTCCGCATACTTCGTGCCATTTTAAATATTCACATCCAGAGAAGTTTGGCTCAAACTGAAATAGTGTTATAACTTTTAGTAACTGTTGCTTTTTTTAAATTATTTAGATTTACTTATCCAAAACGTGTCTCCATTAAAATACACTGAAGGCCTTTAAAACAATTTTTTACATATTTGGCTATTTATGCTAATTTTTTGCTTTAGTCTCGCTAATTTTAGCTCTTAGCTATGGTTTTGCAACATTTAGCTTATAGCATTAATTTAGCTAATTTGAGCATTATATGGGATTTCTATTTCAGCTTTTAGCTACTTTTTTGCTCGTCTTAACCTTAACAATTCAGTTCATTCATTCATTCAACAATTATCTGCAAAATAATTCGGCACACGCACTGCATTTTGCATAAAATACAGTTTCTTCTGTTTCTAATAAAATGTTTATTTATTTTGATCAACATGAACTGGTGCGTAAGGACATGAGTGAACGTACTTTATAATGCCATATCCCAGGCTGACAATGATGACGAGTAACCGGGCCAAAGTTCTTTTGAGAGCGGAGACCAACTCAGCAAAGATTAACAAGCCCTGAGCTACAAAAACAAATAAAATACATTTAAAAATGGCTCCCGAATGCACAAACATTATACAAGATACTTACAAGCAGAACCAACTGTGTTGGTGTTTTCATATTCCGCGCAGAAGACCGCCTTCTCCACCATCCCCAGGAAAATGACCCCTGCGATCCAGAACTGGATCCTCAGCAGATCTTTCCAGTAGCAGGCCGCCCACATAAACCACAGCAGAGCGTACAGGATGTACACTACACACATCACCATGTAGAACTGCAAACAGACCGCAACAATTAGCCTGTGAACCCAGCACGCGTGGAAGCTCTTCATTAACTGGAGAGCAACTTCCTGAAAAGCTGCTCATCTAAAATTATCCATCCATCTTTTGTTTTTTATTTTGAGGTTAAATCAGGTTAAACACTGCAAAACATACAGATTATATTTTCAATAAATGTTCAAACTGGTTTAACATGAAATGTATCGGGAGGAAAACTACTATAAAAAGTCCTACGCTCCACAAGGACCAGTAAATAATTCACTTAAAAGTCACTACATATAGAACATGACATCATACACAAATTAAAGTTTTCAACACAAGCCACAAAAAACATATTTTTCCTAGAGGCATCCACTTACGATCATGAGGGGCCACTCGGTGGCAGAGATGAAGCCATGGTTGCCTTTCATCACCACATTAACTGAAAACAAACAACTTACATTAAACAACCGAAGCGTTTCATAACTCATAAAAAGTTCATCTTAGTACTTGAAAGCTGCGAAATACAACTTCCTCAAACACAACACTAATTAAAATACCACAGAAAATGACAGCAAGTTCTTCTGTGCCAGGTGATCAGTAACTCGTTCAGCAAACAAACAAACAAACAAAAGAAATTGCATTTTGTGCAAAAATGCAAAGTGAGCACCGAATGGCTTCACTGAAATGTGCTTAAGAAGCTGAAACGGAGCTGCTAAAGCTACAAGAAGCTGAGCAGCAACTAAAAGCAAGAAAGAAGCAACATGCTAACTACAAACCAAAAGCGGTAAAACACCACATAAAAACTAAGAGCAGCCAACAGCTAGCTAAAAGCTGCATAAATGAAGTAAAAAGCTAAATGGATCCAACAGTAACCACAAGCTAAAAGTGCCAAAGACTAGTTAAAAGCAACACGATAGTTAAAGACCAAAGCTAAAGTAAAATAGCATAGCTGGAAGCAGCAAAAGCCTAATTAAAAGCTAAAAATGCAAGTCTTGGCTACAAGCTATAATAAAAAAAATGTTAGCTAAAAGCTAAAAGTACCAAAAGGGCAGCTAAAAGCTAAACAAAAAGTAAAATAAGGTTAAGTACGTTGAAGTAGATTTTAAAAAGAACAAAAAGAAGAGGTCTAATACAGTAGTCCCTCGCTACATCGCGGTTCGTTTTTCGCAGACTTGCTCTAGCGCGGTTTTTCAAAATAAGATTGGATATGACACGCAATTGGAAGATTGATGGATGAGCCGCACGATCGACATGAAATTTTTATTTAAAACGTATTATTTTAAAATTATTTAGCACCAGTGTGCAGCCCAAGCTGCAGAAGCTTCTTCCTGCAGCTGATCAGCTGATCTCCGCTCTGCAGCAGGGAAGTGGGCGTGGCCAAAAGCGGCAGATGGCAGTGGAGGCAGAAAGCTGAAATCATGACATTCTGTGCTCTTTTAGAGCGTTTAGAAACATTGTTTAGAATATTGCAAGTGTGGGAAGGGTTTAAAACGCCTTAATATATAAATAATAAAATTAATTACTTGTACTACTATTCCTACTTCATAGTTGTTCACTTATCGTGGGGCTTCAGGGTACGGATCCTCCCGTGATAAAAGAGGGACTATTGTACATGTGTATTTATAAGAGGAAATATTTGTAAATAAATGTCAATATTTTAAAAAGTATAAGTTACATAAAACATAATCCATTGCAACCATCTTTTGAACGAACCTTTTGATACATGAATGGCTGAAAAAGCACAAAGTATTCAGAAGTAGTTAAGGTACAAAAAAACTGAGGAAAAAAAAAAATCACCTGTTAAATTCCAATTTTCTTTCTTTGAAGACACGACTTTAACAACCAGCAGGTAAGGTCCATCCCTCCATGTTGTAGTGATGACATTGTCTCTTATTTTTTGACTTCCGTTCTTAATATTGTCATACTCTTCAGAAATCCAACTCTTATCGGCCAGTTTTGCCTAAAGAATACAGTGTTTGCACATTTTAGAAAGAAAAAGGAGCATGAGAGGAAAACAGCACACTAAACAAACTCATCAAGTGGAAAATATTTAAAACAATGCACTCATTTTGTGACTTTACAGCCCAGTTTTCTGAAAATAACTTTAGTTTCTTGTTTTGATTTTTTTGTTCTCGTGAATAACGTCAGTGTGTTTTCTCACGAGCATTTCTTTCTCGGAAAGTAGGGTGACTGGACGTGGCGCTGCCTTGGATTTCTGACAAAACAAACAGATGACGAGCTGTAATTAATGTCAACGTATGAAATGTGCCGTCGATGTTGAAGAAGTCCACCTACTCTGAGCATCGGAAAGGAATGCAAATCGTTGGTGCACGTTATTGAACCGTGTTTGTGTTCGATGTACTCTCCCGGACTGCTGGGTTTTGGATCCAGGCTATGCCCACGACTCTGAGGCGTCTTGTCGTACAGCTCCTGACACAGTCAAAATGCAACAATCAGAAACAGAAGAACGACAACTCACCAGAAAATATAATGACATAAAGCGTGTACTTACTTCAATATTATTGTATTCATTGTAGCAGTGGTAATACTTTAAAAACCAGTGAATAGTAAAGTTCACCTCCCCGGGGCAATAAAAAGACACAACTGAAATATAAAAAGACATTTAAATAATACACTTTAAAAACAGTTTAGTTTTTTTTTATTTATTGAGCCAGAAGCAAATTCTTTTCACATCTCACCTTTCAGTTCAATATCAGTGACTCCAAACATGACTTTCCTCAATAGCAGTGGTCTTGAGGTCTGTAAAACCATTAAAACCGTCAGCGACGATGCACGAAGAGATGAGATTCTAATTAATACTTGAGCAAACTGAATAATAATAAAAAGTTCTTGACGCTGTTTTGCACTTAAAAAGCAATGAATGTTAGGGTCAGTATCTGCTTTAAATGAGGAAAAGACGGTCTCTAACTGGAAACTTTTGTTGTCCATTTGGTCCACAACAGCCTGAGTCTTTTCTGAAGACACGTAATACTACAACCAGAGTACAGGAAACTGAATCTTCTCAGTGCTTTCATTATTTATCAGAGGATTTCTATTTCTTCAAGGACAAAACTCTAAGAAGTGTCTTCATGAAGCAAAAAAAAAAAGGACTGCTGAAGGAAAACTGTTTTCTGAGTGAGCTGCTGGTAAACAAAGGTGAGAACTTGGGCGTTTGTTTGTACGCACACAGGTTGAGCAAAACAGCAATAAATACAGGCCAGGACACACATGTGTCAGTGGTCCCTAAAACCTTCTAAATAATAGTTACAAATTGTTCTATTGCCCGTTAAAATGTACAAAAATTGCTACCAACTATTTAAAAATGGCATAAGGACAACTCACAAACAGACTAAACATCAACAAAGCTATTTTAAATTTAATTTATAATCTTTGTAGCAACTAGGGTAAGAAATAATCAATGGATTTTAAATGCAAGTTGATTTCTAGAGATTTGATGTTTTATGAATCACGTATAAATTGGAATTCCCACCCCAATTTGGGAACCACTGGATTATGGAATTATATTTTGTATGTGTATGTTTGTGTATATATACATGTATTATAGTATGATATAGTATAGTATATAGTATAGTATTATAGTATAGTGAATTATAGTATGTATGTGTATATATATTGAAGATTTGTGAATGTTTTGTGTTCTGTAGACAAATAAAAAATGTTGGTTTTTTTTTTATGTTTCTTTATCATCATTATCATTGTTTAAATTGCTCTTCCAAAACATTGTGAAATCAATGTAAAAATAACACTTCTAGATGTGAAAAAGTCACTCTGACCTACAACCTCTATATATGTGTATATATACACACACGCGCACGCGCACGCACACACACAGTTCAACTGAGTTGGCTAAACCTAGCTAGCCGTTAGCCAACCCTGAAGCGCTAATTAGTAAAGCTAAAGCATCCTCTTCTCTATTAGCATGTGCATTTTAACAGATAACATAAAGGATAACGTTTTGTTATTGTAAGTTGCTAAGGAAATACTCTCAGTCAAGGACAACGTTGTCAAATTAGCAAACCAGCTCCAAGCAAGTGAACCTAACACGGCTAGTGTGGCTAACGTTAGCTTGAGGTGCCCCGCAGTTTTTAGAGTTTCCACGCGACACTCACATTATCAACGTTGATTTTCCACAACCCTGTCTCCGGAGCTGCTCCAGCTTCATTTACGCTACAGAGTAAAGCTACAAGAACGACCACCCACGGATACAAATCCCCTTTAGACGGACTGCTCCACGTCCGCATCCTGACAGCAGCTGCCATGTTTGCTCATGACTTTGATAATTCCCTCCCGCCAGGAGGCGCCGTGAACGCAACATACATCAAACACTGCGTCGGGTGTTGCAGCAAAAAGAAACAAGTCAGAACTTATGGAAATATACATTTACAAATATACCTCGATCATTTTTTTTTTCTCCAGAAAATTGATTAATCTGTTTTGTTTTTTTAAGTTGAAGCTCTCTTAGTAATAACAATCTCTGGGGTGTTGCAGCATTGAAGATTTGTGAATGTTTTGTGTTCTGTAGACAAATTAAAAATGTTTTTTTAATATGTTTCTTTATCATCATTATCATTGTTTAAATTTCTCTTCCAAGACATTGTGTAATCAATGTAAAAATAACACTTCTGGATGAAAAAGTCACTCTGACTTACGACCTCTAACATGTAAAGTAAATAAATGTGTGGAGAAAATACTGTACGTATTTCGATAACTACACTCAAAATATATATACATTTTGTCTTTGGAAATTAAGCAGTTCAAACAAATGTATTGTACTGTGTATCTAAACTGTTCAAGACGTGTAAAGAGACTCCCAAACCAAGCAGTTGTATTTAAATGTCACTACTGTTCCATTTTATTATTAGTCATTTCTGTATGTACTGTATACTTACAGAATATACAGTACATACACACACATATATATATATATTCAGTAAAAGGCTGGTCACTTTTACAGATACTGACCTAAAATATGGTGTGGTAATATCAGAGTCTTATCTTCAACTTGTTACTTTGAGCTTTGTTAGAAGTTTTGCCATTTACATATTTGCAATCATCTCTGTTAGCAAAATATAAAAATTTTCAGCGGTAATCGCAGAATGTACATGCACAGCTGATTTATTTTTTGTGCCGACCCTACTCAAGATGTGCCTACAACCATTTGACCTATAGAAAACGGACAAAATAACTAATAATAATAAAATTGAATGTGATTGTAGCTGAGATTCATTTACAATACATACATTAAGTCAGGGGTTCCCAACCCTGGTCCTTGAGGAACACCATCCTGAATGTTTTAGTTGTTTCTCGGCTCTGAAACCTCTGACTTTAACAAATAGGTGATTTACAGTACAGGCTTCTGCAGAGAATGAGGATTAATTAAAACATTGAATCAGGTGTGTTGGAGCAGGGAAACAACTAAAACATGCAGGATGGTGTTCCTCAAGGACCAGGGTTGGGAACCACTGCAATGAGTGACCATCACTGAGCACTTTTTATTAAAATACTTAAAACACTTTCTTGTGTTTTCTTAATTCAACATAATTAATTTGATCTTTTTTGCACCTTTTTTATCATTAAAAGTTAGTCTCATAATATTTTCTATGCAAATAATATTTATTTTTACAACACAAGATCAACTTATCAGTCTTTACATTTTTTTATTAACACAAAAACGCAGAATACTGTCGAGGTTTTCACATTTCAGAGCGTCTGTAGCTTATGGAACGTGTGCTTTAACATGTCTGGTGTTGTCTCAAAATATTCCTGACCCTGAAACGTAAGCTGGCCACACGGAGGACAAACAACATTAATAATTGGAAAGTGGGCGATTGAGGTGTTTAAAGTGCAACCAGACAAACCAGTTAGTGAACCGTGCTGAGAGTTTTGATCCGTCGTGAGCGAAGCGTTATAAAAGAAACAAAGTGTCACATGAACTGTGATCCATGGCCGTTTCACCAGTCCTCATGTCTTCATGTGTCTGATTTAAAGTTTCTCCCGACAGAAGAGGAGTGTCCACAGCAGGAGATCTCTGCGAGTTACTCGAGGAGACCACCACCACATAACGGTCGCTGTCCCCGTTGTCCTCGTCCTCCTGGCGCCCGTGAACGTCCGCGGTGACGACGGTGTTTTCTGCTGCCTGGCGGCTGCAGGACGGCGAGGAGCCGAACACGAGCTGCGCCGCAGCGTCCTCCTCGGGAAAGCTGGTGTTGATGTAAATGATGTCCTCTCTGCTGGAAGACTCTGGAAGCTTTTCTGTGAGCTTTTCCAACCTTTCCCGCAGCTCAGGAAACGAAGGTCGGTCCACTGGGTCGGCTCTCCAGCAGCTGTACATAATCTCATACCTGAACAGAAAATGTTAAAAATTATTAATTTTCTGTTTTGATATAAAGCTAACGCAAAAAGAGATGGAAATAGCTACAAAATCTGTATTTGGTTTTATTCTTTGAAGCAGGTTAAGTACAAACCAGTCAAGAAATAAAACTTTTGAGAACTATAAAATTTAAAATAAAGAGACACAAAAACGCAAATATAGTAGTGATAAAACTTGCATTTAAGAGGCTGCAAGAGTTGAAAGCAGGACAGACTCGTTGGCATGAAATGATGAAATGTAAATTAATTTCTGATACATGCAGGAGAATATTTTAGGGAAGGTTCACAATTCTGTCAAAAAAATAAAAAGAAAATTAAAAACTGGTTTTAGGCAAATATGCTAAATGCACTTTCAATATTTGGGGTCTGTGGCTTTTTAAAAACTTTTTCTACTTTTATATCATTTACAGTATTAATAGTGAAACTAATAATTTTCTCTCTTATAAGTAAAACCATAATTTCACATATTTTTTTAATTAGCATTTGCATTTTTAAAACTGCATTTTATGCAGAATTATTTTTTATCACCCACTGCCATAAAAAGTGAGTGTAATTCCCTTTGTCTGTTTGTATTGGTTTTCTGTCTGTCAGCAAAATATCTCGAACCCCTGGAATTAATGAAACTCTCTAATATCACAGGATGAGCAGCAACTGATTTACTTTTCAAGTCAACCTGATTCAAGATGGCCACCACAGTTAATCAAACCTAACACTAAAATGACTTTAAATTGGCTTTAACCGAACTAAAATTTGGTGTGGTTAAATTATTTTAACCTACATAGACCTATGTACATAGACATACCAACATAGATAGTTAAATTATTCATGTACGCAGAGTTATTTATAGCTCACCATGAAGTTCTAGATACGTTTCCAAAAACTTCAAATAATCATTTTCCAAGTTATAATTTTGTGAATGAATTAAGTTGTGGTTGATTTTGTTAAAATTGACCAACACTACTGATTTAACCCAGTTTAAAGTGCAGTATTTACTTTTTAAAGGGCTTGTTTTACTGAACAGGACTCAGGCGAGGACTCAATGAAATGAAAGAGCTTAATGAATAAAAACAAAAGGCTGATGGGGGAGCAAAACTAAACCAACAACAATAAAAAACATCAAGGTGTAAAGTCTGGAGGATCACAAAGGAACCGGCAGGAAGATGGATGAAATGATTGATGGGAAAGGAGCAAACCAAGACAATAATGAGACTGAGGGTGTTGAAGTAAGTGGAGGCAGCTGAGACTAACGAATATAGGGAGCAGGTGTGGACTGAGGGGCAGGACTGAGGCAATGAAAGAATGAATGATCCCATAGGGACACAGGAAAATGAACTAAACACAAAAAAAATCAAAAATTAAAAATTGACAAGGAAATCTAACCAAAAAAAACAAACAAAAGCCACAAAAATAACGTAAAATTTACAAAACCAAACATAAAATCCCAGAATCACAACATGACTGATATATGTTGTTTCATTTTGTTCCCTTGGAAACATGTATGTTGCTAGATTTTCATGTACAGTAATCCCTCGCTACGTCACGGTTCGTTTTTCGGACTCGCTGCGTCACGGTTTTTCAAAGAAAGATTGGACATGACACACAACTGGCTGATAGAGGGATGAGCCGCATGATTGGCATGGAATTTTTATTTTAAATAAATTATTTTAGATTATTTAGCACCTGCTGCACCTGTGTGCAGCCCACAGCTGCTGGAGAAACTGCTCCGCAGCGGAGAAGTGGGCGTGGCCAAGAGCGCTGGCAGGTGGCAGAGAGAAGAGATCATGACATGCTGTGCTCTTTTAGAGCGTTTAGAGTTTAGAAATGTTGTTTAAAATACAGTAGTCCATCGTTTATCATGGGGGATCCGTAGGAATAGTAGTACAAGAAGTAAGTAGTCGTTTATTTCTACTCTAAATGATCTAAAAGAGCACAGAATGGCTGCTCTTGGCCACGCCTACTTCTCCGTGGCAGAGCGGAGATCCTGACACATGCAGGAGGAAGTTTCTCCTTCAGCTGTGGGCAACACAGAGGTGCAGCAGGTGCTAAACAATTTAAAATAATTTATTTTAAACAATAATTCCATGCGATCGTGCGGCTCATCCATCAATCAGCCAACTGTGTGTCATGTCCAATCTTACTTTGAAAAGCCACGAAGTAGCAAGTCTGCGAAAAACGAACCACAAAAAAAAAAAAAAAAAAAAAAAAAAATATATATATATATATATATAGTAAACTAGTATTTACTACTTGTACTACCATTCCTACTTTGCGGTTTTCACTTTTCACAGGGCTTCAAGGTACGGATCCCCCGCGATATACTTGGACTACTGTACTGCACATCATGACTTTGATGAGGTTTAAACCAAAATGAAAAGATTCTGAAATAATAAAAAAAACAACAACGAAAAAGGGAAAACTCACAGTTCATCCAAACAGTCCGGCGGCTGCTTCAGTCTGTGACCTTCAACAAGATGGTCATAAATCTCGTGGTTCTGGACGCCGGGGTACGGCGTCATGCCTCGTGTGGCGATTTCCCACATGGTGACACCAAACGCCCACTGCATGACGCACATAATTTATTTCAGATATATTTAAAAAATATATACCGGACAGTGCTGAATGATCAACAACTAAACACATTTAATATAAATCCAAATGAGCTTTTTTGTTGGCAGTCTTGTGGCTTCGTGTTATTGGGTACAAAACTTTTTCTTTTTTGATAAATAAAATAATGATTATAATTTGTTCTTGAAGCCTTCTGCTAATATTCTAAACAGTATGGCAAACTGTGCATTTAATGTGTTAATTCCAAGTAAAATATGAAACAGTCTGGTTTAACCGTAGATTTGTATTCTTTCAGTGCCTCCTTGATGCAGTTTGTACTCACGACATCACTCTTTACTGTAAAAACACGATCTGCCAGACTCTCCACTGCGATCCATTTTACTGGCATTTTGGCGATTCTGCCCTGCCTGTAATAATCTCCACTGTAGATCTTCTTAGATAAGCCAAAGTCTGCGACACACACCGTCATGTCATCGCGCAGCCTGGAAAACAAATGACGTCAGAACTTGATGACAAACATTATGGTTATCTGCGTCATGTTGTGGGTGCTACATCTGTGAGGAAACGATATTCTGCATTTAAATTTCGCCTGCAGCTGCAGAGTCAGGCAGAAAACTTTGAAACCTACATGCAGTTGCGAGCTGCCAGGTCACGGTGCAGAAAGTTACGACCGCTGAGATACTCCATCCCCAACGCGATGTCAACCATGAACTTCAGGAGGGTCTGAGTGGGCAGGAACTGTGTCAGAACAGAAACATTTAGTCGTGTTGCCTGAACGTTGAGTCAGCATTCACACATGTTTTAATTAATTTAATTTATTTTATTTTAAATATCGCATATTTTGTGCTATTTGACTTTTTCATACAGCAAAACCTCCAGCTAGATCAGGAATACTGCACTGTGCCTTTTGTGCTTTTTGTAACTTTTATGCTTTATTCACAATATTTGCCCCATGAAAAAATACAAAGTGATTTTTTTATTTTTACTTTTCAGTGCTACTTTTGGATTTAGCTTCTTTTTATCCAGTTTTAGCTTTGGCCACTTTTATTATTTAGCCACTGTCCTGCTACTTTTAGCTTTTAGCTACTGTTCTTACACTTTTAACATTAGCCAAAGTTTTGCAACTATTAGCCTTTAGCAACAATTTTGGTACTTGTAGCTAGCTTTCTACTGCTTTCCACTTTTAAACACTGTTGTACTACCTTTAGCTACTGCTACAATTTTGATACTTGTAGCTGCTGTTCTGCTACTTTTAGCTTTTCACTACTGTTTTTCTACTTGTAGCTACCATTCTGATACTTTTAACTTTTACCTACAGTTTTGTGAATATTAGCTTTTACCTACAAATTTGGTACTTCTAGCTGAATTTTTACTGCTTTCATCTTAAAACTACAGTTTTACTATTTTTAGAATATAGCTTTAATTTTTGTACTTGTAGCTACCTTTCTACTGCTTTATTAAATACTTTTCAGATACTTTTGGCTTTAGCTACAGTCTTTCTACTTTTAGCTACAGTACTTGTAGCTACTATTATTCTACTGTTAGCTTTTAGCTACAGTTTTTCCTACTTTTAGCTACTGTTTTTCTACTTGTGGCCAATGCTCTGCTACTTTTAGCTTTTAGCTACTGTTCTTACACTTTTAACATTAGCCAAAGTTTTGCAACTATTAGCCTTTAGCAACAATTTTGGTACTTGTAGCTAGCTTTCTACTGCTTTCCACTTTTAAACACTGTTGTACTACCTTTAGCTACTGCTACAATTTTGATACTTGTTGCTGCTGTTCTGCTACTTTTAGCTTTTCACTACTGTTTTTCTACTTGTAGCTACCATTCTGATACTTTTGACTTTTACCTACAGCTTTGTGAATATTAGCTTTTACCTACAAATTTGGTACTTCTAGCTGAATTTTTACTGCTTTCATCTTAAAACTACAGTTTTACTATTTTTAGAATATAGCTTTAATTTTTGTACTTGTAGCTACCTTTCTACTGCTTTATTAAATACTTTTCAGATACTTTTGGCTTTAGCTACAGTCTTTCTACTTTTAGCTACAGTACTTGTAGCTACTATTATTCTACTGTTAGCTTTTAGCTACAGTTTTTCCTACTTTTAGCTACTGTTTTTCTACTTGTGGCCAATGCTCTGCTACTTTTAGCAACAGTTTTGCTAGTTTTTGCTACTATTCTTCTGCTGTTAGCTTTTAGCTAAAGTTTTGCTACTTTTAGCTTTTAGCTAAAAGTTTGCTACTTGTAGCCACTTCCCTGACACTTTTAGCTTTTAGCTACATGTTTTGCTACTTTCAGGTACTATTCTTCTACTGTTAGGTTTTAGCTACAGTTTTTTTTCTACTTTTAGCTTTTAGCTACATGCTTTGCTGCATTCAGGTATTATTCTTTTACTGTTAAGTTTTAGCTACTGTTTTGCTACATTTAGCTTTTAGCTAAAGTTTTGCTACTTGTAGCCACTGCCCTGCTACTTTTCGTTTTTAACTACATGCTTTGCTACTTTCAGCTACTATTCTTCTACTGTTTGCTTTTAGCTACAGTTTTGCTACTTGTAGCCACTGCTCTGCTAATTTTAGCTTTTAGCTACAATTTTGCTACTTTCAGCTAGTATTCTTCTACAGTTAGCTTTTAGCTATGGTTTTGCTGCTTGTAGCTACTGTTTTGTTCTTTTGAGCGTTCAGCTGCAGTTTAGCAAAGTTCAGATTCTAGTTCTGGTTTTGTTACTTTTAGCTTCTGTTCGGCTTGTTTTAACTCCAGATTTAGCTTCTTCAACAAATTTGATCATGTCCGATCAGTCCCTCAACGTTCACGCTGCATTTTTGCATGCGATGCAGCGTCTCCAGCTAGAATCTAAAACTCTACTCTGGGTATTGACGAGTATTTAAAATGTTGACTGAACCTCTACCATTGGACTCTCTCTCAGGCGTGAGCGCAGCAGAAAGCTATGCAGGTCTCCATACTTCATGAACGGGAGGATGACCATGGGTTTAGGGAAATGTTCTGCGCTAACTTCCAGGCACACACCTAAAAAGGACAGTGGGCACAGAGGAATCAGATCAGAGGAGGTGAAGAAACGAATCAGATGTGCAGAGACGTCGCTTGTTTCACACACCCAGGAGTTTGATGACGTTCGGATGGTCAAAATCTTTCATGCAAGCTGCCTCATTCAGGAACTCCTCAATCTCCCGATGAGAGAAGTTATCCACTGTTAGCCAAAAAAAAAAAAAGATAAATATTTGACTTTTCCCTCTCTGTAATTATTACTTAAAGCCATTAGAAAAGCACAGATCTTACATTTCATCGTCTTCACCGCAACTTTCTCAGACGGGCCGTCCAGCTGTTTTAAACGTCCCTCAACGACGGAGCCAAACTCGCCTGGTAAACGACAGCTGTTAAATATTTTAAACTAACAGCAACGTGCACTTTGTGTGGACATGAATGCAACAATCTCTAACACTTGTGAAACGGTTCACTCACCTTCTCCAAGAACTTTTCCTATCGAGAGCAGGGTCCTTGTGATCATCACATCCTGAAGTTTGGCCTGGAGTTCTTCACTAATGCCAAGATTTGCAACTTTGGACAAGTGGAAAAAAAAAACAAGGCTTTATTATTTAATCTATTAACATTAATATATGTTATAGTTATAGATTTTAATTTAAAAACACACGTGTGACTGCTACGGCTGTTCGGTTGTACGATCTGTTGGTGTACTGGATGATCGGATATGAAGTTTCTCCAACTCCAAACTTCCATCTGCAGAGGGAGACAAAGAAAAGGTAAAAAAATGTAATTCCACTAATTTCACAAATGAGAGTCAATCAAAGTAAGGAAGCCTTTAAGGATGTTATTTTTTTCATTGTGAAGCAGCCTGTGACACGTTCCTATCCTTATCCTGAGATGAAAACGTGAATCAGAGCCTCCTAACAAGCAAAAAAAATGAACAGCTGCACACTTCCTCCCAGTGCGGACACAGATGACTAACAGGAAGTGAGGGAAGTTTATTAAGAGAAGCAGGAAGGTATTATTATGTGTATTTCTACTACCAACAAAGTGTTATTCAACAGACTGTGGGCATAAAGTTACCTCATCCTGTTTTATTCATTTACATCTGTGTAAACACATCGATACCAGTTGCAGAGCAACTTCTAAGATTAAATATGTATAACTGGAAGATTAAATTCAATTCGGTTTTATTTATATAGCGCCAAATCACAACAAAGTTGGTTGGTACGAAGTTAGGCGATTGTCATCTTACCCAAAACAGGAGTCGGGCATCTTGTGGCGGAAACGCAGAGCAGCAACGAGGACCAGCAGCAGAAAACAGATGACTAAAACCACACCGAGCACAACGTTCGCCGGGTTTGGACCCCGTGAATCAGGGCTGGGCGTCGGGGTCACCGCTGATTCTGAGGCGAGAGGAAAAAATAAGAAGCGCAATCATGTTCAGGTATCTAAAAATGTGATGTACGAGATGAGTTAGTTGAAAGATGCAAAGCAAAATGTCCATTTGTTTTAATTTCATCTGTTTTATCAGGTTCAACATGCAGCTGCCTTCCACTGTCACTGTTTAGACCAATAACTGGCCAATCAGAGCTCACGTGGCACTTTAAACCGAAGGTCACAGGAGGTTCTGTGGTTTGAGATTATTAAAATAATATTTTGATGTTGTATACATATTTTTATACTTTATATCCAAATAAAGCTTGTATAAAACAAGTTCCTGTATTACAATAACAGCATTACAGTGTTAAACTCTTTTAAGTTTCCTAACCAATCGAAAATTGTACAGAGGACAAAATAAAAAGACATAAAAAAAAAAAAGTAAACTAGAATAAATTAAATTGTCTGTAATAATGCAGCGTGAACCCTGAGAACTGAATGACTTTCAAAATTTGCTGAAGAAGCTGAAATTGAGTTTTGAAGGCTAAAATAAACATAACACTTGATTAACGCTAAATATACCAAAACATTAGCTAAAATAGCAAATTGCTAGCTAAAAGGAGTAAAAGGCTAGCTAAAAGCTAAAAGTCCAAAAACAGTAGATACACGCTAAAGGTAGCAAAACATCAGCTGAAAGCTAAAATTTACAAAAAGCTTGCTAAACAATAGAAGGGGCAAAAGGCTAGCTAAAAGTAACAAAACAGTAGCTAAAAGTAAAATGTGGCAAAATTTGGCTGAAAGTACCAAAATGTTGGTTAAAAGCTAAAAGTAGCATAAAAAATTTTGAAAATAAAGACAGTTTGTTAATGTTTCTGTCTACACCTGATCTGTTTCAGATCTTAATTGTTTGTATTTTTATACCTCTGTTTTCTTTATTTTATTCTCTGTTACTTTTATATCCCTTGTTTGTTTTTTGTTTGTTTTGTTTTGTTTTTAATTCTCTGTTATTTTTTATATATTGTGTGATTCTTTGTTCCTTTGGGTTGAAACTCTGGCACAACAATTTCCTGCGGGATCAATAAAGTTATATCTTATTTTATCTTATCTTATTTTGCTGAAGCCCATTAGTGGAGGATTCTTTGAGAACCACTGTGGAAACTGAAGGGTACAAAGTTTTTAATCAGACTTGTAGCAACAAAAGAAACAAACAGCAAAGCAACACATCTTGAAATTCAGTTTTTACCCAATTGTTTAGTTGGTTTACTTATTGACGTCAGTATATATGCTTATAAGTTGGTCATAATGCTAAATGTCTGATTTTTTTCAGAGGTGGTTACTCTGTACTAAACCCCTGGCCTATTAAAGACATGAGTACACTTTTATTGGGAGGTTTATAAAGTTTAAAAACTGTGACTGATAAGACGAGAAGAATAAAAACACTAGAGAAACTCACTGTCTCTTGACACAAAGAGCCAGACTGGTTGGCTGGGCATGCCGCTCCCTGCCTCCGTGCACGCAGCCACCTCCACGCTGTAGGTTTTATTAAAGTCTGTCACAGGTACAAAGGCCACCGTGGTGTTAGTGTGCACCTGAAATAAAAAAAAACACATTTGGTTTATTGCTTTTTCCCATTTTAAGGGAAAAAAAAACTAACGAGTTGAAAGAATAAGCAAACTAAATATGAAGTAAACTGTCAAAAACATTGGGAATGTTCTGATGGGAAATTATGCCAAACCTCTCCATTTCTTTGTGCAAGATAAAATAACACGAGGGGGGAAAAAGTGGCATTGTGTTCGTCGGGACCCTTCCATTATGAAATCTTTTAGGGAAAATCAAAGGAAGTGCACGCCAAATATTGTTTCACAAAATGAAACTTCCAACAGACACAAAAAAAAAAAAAGAGAAGGGGCCAAACTTTCTGGAAGAGCTCATGTGCTGAATGTGAAGGAACATGTGACAGACAGGGCGCCGAATTTCCCAACACCACATGCAACCTTCTGGTGTGCTCTGCTTTAGCAAAGTGCTGACGAGGGACACTGAACCCATGATTGATGTCATCTGAGGGAAATGAGCAGCTCCTGCAGCACAAAACTCTCAGCAGCGTTTGGAAAATGAAATGAAAGTTGAAAGAAGATGATGGCACCATGATGAATAATATTTTTGGGTACTGCCTAGAAAGGCAGACACCTATTATTATCCACCTGACTTAGGGTTTCTTAACTTTATATCTTGCTCTTGCATCAACTTGAATGCAGCAATGTGAACCCCCATAAATCTTATATCAAAACGATCGGCTCAGCACCGTGATGTGTGCTATTACTTCTATTATCATTTCCAGTTACAATGGCGATATAATTCGCAAACGAAGACGTCATTTTTCTCATTCAAAACGCCTGACGTTTGACTCTAAAATGGCCGCCACGCGGCAATCCCCATCTAAGTTTCTCCAGGAGCTTTCTAGTTATGACTTATTCCACCAATTCAAATGCTTCTGTATCCTGACTTCTCCATTTTTCTTGATTCTCATGAAGCCAGATGAGCCTGAATATCAAGTTGACTTTGCACATACTTCCAGTCATCCTCATTGTAGTGCTATCGGGATAATAAAAAAACTACTTTGGCATAAAGTTCGTACCCCTTTGTTATCATTCTCCGTTCACTCTGATGACTCATGTCCACATGCCCCACAGTTTTCACATCATCAGCTTCCTTTGACCACACCACATATAGAACGAACAGGAAACACGCTATTGTATTAGCAGACAAACATGACTACGCACAGACAGCCTTTCAGGCGGTTAAAAAAAAAAAGTACAGTTAAAAAAAGTACTTTTATAAACTAAAGGCATCCCTTTTATTGAATATATACATATTGCTTACTGCCTTTCATGCAAGAGTTTTAGATGCAATTGTCTTATTGTCTAATTGTCTACACCTCCAGATGCAGGAAGAGGGCCACCTGCATCATGAAGGACCCCACCCACCCAGCACACACACTTTTTGCCCCACTCCCCTCAGGAAGGAGGTTAAGGAGCATTAAGTGTAGAACCACTAGACTGAGGAACAGCTTCTACCCTGAGGCTGTTAGACTCATGAATCTCTAACTAGAATAATCACTGTGAAAAACCATATCATGCTGCTGCTGATCTGTTTCATGTTGCTGCTGATCTGTTTCAATGTTGATGTGTCCATGCGTGCACATCTGCTCACAGACTCATGTTCATGTTTGTGCTGATGTTCAATGTTTTATGTTATGAGTGCTTAGTGTATATTTAGTTGATGTTTTTCTTAGTTCATATCTTAGATGTTATTACTGTTTTTCTTATACATTTTATTGTTGGATGTAACTGGGACCCTGCGTACATAATTTCGCTCCACCACATGTACCACATGAGGTGCGAATGACAATAAAGAAACTCTGACTCTCTGACTCTGACTTATGCTGAGAAATGACAGAATGGTTTCCATTTTGGTCAAGCATTTAAAACAACGTTACTTATGATTTTATTCAACATGGTAAGATATTAGTTTCAGAGTATGTGTTGTGAACGGTACTCATCTACTAATACATAACATTTTAGCTAAAAATTTGAAAAACTGACCCTAGCTGTAGCCCATTTTGTGTACGGTAATGTTCATTATCTGTGATGGCCATCTTGAATTGGATTGACTTCAAAATATTAACAGTTGTAGATGTTCATCCACTGATTATTTTCTGGAGATTTCATTGAGATCCCTACAATGGTTCGAAAGATATTTTGCTAACAGACTGGTAAACAATGTAACGCTGGTAACGCTAAAATTTTAGGCAAATATTTTGCAACGTGTAGCACTTGAAGTATGAGATGTGAAGGACTCTTAGCTACAACAACTCCAAACTTTAGAACAATAGCTGTAAAATTTACTGAATTATAACCATTTTTAATTTTATAAAGTCACGGATGTCTGTGGCAGCCATCTTGAAATCGATTGGCTCCAAAAATAGTTCAGTTCAAGATTACCATCCAAAAAAAATTAAAAAATAAGAATCAAAATAAACACGATTGAACCTTTTTTGTTGTTATTACCATCCAATGATTGTATTCTAAAAGTTTAATGAAAACCTGTGTCGAAGAGCTGTAGTTATTATGCTAACAGACAGACAGAGACAACTCCAATAATAAAAACAAAACTTCAAACAAAGACCTGAAACAATCTGTTAGTGACGGTGACTCTCAACAAGAACCACACCAAATTTTAGATCAGTATCTGTAAAATTGGACAAGTTAGTTCTGTTTTTATGTTTTTAATGTTAGCTAGCTGTAGCAGCTATCTTGAATCAAGTTAACTCCAAAGGTTAATCAGTTTTAGGTGCTCATTCAATGATGAATTTCTGAATGTTTTGTAAAAAATTTCCCAGTAGGTTTTGAGAAATTTTAGTAACAGGCACAGAAATACAAAAAGGAGAGCAGGCCAGGACACAAACATTATCGCCTAAACACTTCGTCATTCCTCAGTAAGTGACATTCGTTTCTTTGGGTCATTTCTGAGAAACTGGTGACCTGTAGTCAGATAATAAGGAAGTTGACTGTGATTTAACCAGGAAGGACAACTGTCTTCCACACTCCTTTATACAGTCATCATATTAGTCAGTAAAAGAAACATAAACGTCATCATAAAGAAGCAAAGGATCATGGGAGCTGTGGTTTATTACCCTGTAGAAATTCCCACTTTCAGTACACAGTAAACACAAACATCTGTATAGATGAAAAAATCAAATTGAGACACAAGCTGCAGAATTCAATCCAGACATCCTGCAAAGACAGAAGGAAAACAGGACCGTGTGAAGTTAAGAAGATGAGCTCACCGTCTTGTGGTCCGTGTCATGCCTCACGATAACCTCGTAACCGCGCAGGACGCCGTTGATCTTATCCTCCGGTGGAGGCTTCCACCTGATCACCAGCCACGACTCGTTCACATGCACGCTGACGTTTTGAGGATAAATTGACGGCACTGAAAACACAAGTTAAAACCATAGTGGTAAAGATATTAACTGTCAGCATAGGTGTACCACAAGGCTCAGTCTTAGGACCCACCCTCTTCACAATCTACATAAGTAATGTAGGTCAGATCATTCCTGTTGCATCTTTACATTTATATGCTGAAGATACAGTTGTTTATTGTCGAGTTAAACAGTTGTTAAAGTTTTCCAACTTTTACAGTCTGCTTTCGACATCATCCAGTCGGTTTTGTTCCATCTCACACTGGTGCTAAATGCTCATAAAACCAAAGGGGTGTTGTTTTCAAACAGGAAGTCAGTACCAGCGGTCCTTCTATCTTATCTTTGAATGGTGTTCCTATTGAGTTTGTTGATTCTTATGAATACTTGGGAATCTGGGTCAATCTCTCTTTAAGCCTCATGTTGAAAACTTGGTAAAAAAATTTGAAAGTAAAATTGGGTTTCTTTTTTAGAAATAGATCTTATTGTCTAACTCTGAATGTTAGTTACGCGTTGTAACTGCCACTTTCCTTCCATCCATTGACTATGGCAACATTATTATTCATGAATGCTCCTGCAAGCACCTCGACGTTGGATGCTGTCTGCCATGGTGCGCTAAGATTCATAACTGGCTGTAACTACCGTACCCACCACTGCACTTTGTATTCATTGGTCAAATGGTCATCATTAACTTCATGCAGACTCTCACACTGGTACATTTTCATCTTTAAATCACTTATTGGTCTGCTGCCTTCATACATCTCCTACATGACACATTGTCAGTGCAGCTACAGCGTGCGCTCCCAAGACATCATTACCAGTGTCCCCTCAGTGTGGACCAAATTTGGCAAAAGGGCCTTCTCTTACTCTGCTCCTGTTTCCTGGAACACCTTGCAAAAAGATCTGAAGCTCTTTGACTTTGGCCTCGCTAAGGGATTTTAAACAACTGTTAAGTTCAATGCAAAAATCAATGCAGACATGTTCCTGTTTTTAGAATCTTACACCGTTTTATAATGTAACATGTTTTTTTTTGTTGTTGTTGTGTATCGTTTCTTTTTATTTACTTTTCATTTTACATGTCTTTATATGAATGTTTATTGTTGTGTGTACCTCATCTGTGGTTTTGTTTAAACCAGGTCTCTCTTGTAAATGAGTCCTTGTGACTCAGTGAGACTAACCTGTATAAATAAAGGTTGAATGAACTAGTGATATTAATAACAAAGACAGTAGACTTCTATAGGACTGAAGAAAAATAGGCCATGTCATCACTGGAATGTCTGATAACAGTTTGGAATTTTGTAATTTCCTGGAATACCAAATCAAATCTTTCAACTAAACATGTTCCCTGTGGTGGCTTTAGGAAGGAAACAGAAAGCAGCTCCACCCAGTTGGAACTGTTTTCTGAGCGATGCCACTCCTTTTTCCTGAGCGACCCATCAGGAAAACAACAGAGATTTTTAGTGGTCACCACATTTTTTTTTAAATCGTAGTCCAGTAGTTGTGCAAGTTGTGCAAATTCCTGCTGATAAATCCTGCCGGAGCGAGAAGGCTTTACACTGGGCACATGTGAAAAGAGAAAGCAGCAGCTAATCACACGGTGCTGCAACTGTGAAACTTAAACACGAATGGTGAGATAAAGAGGCGGATACGAATGTAAACAAACGCCGGGCTCAAACCTCTGATTTATGGGGGTTTCAGTCACTCAACACAGAAAGGCAAAGGCAGATGATCAAGTTTTTTTGCCCATGTCTGTCTATACTCATAGTGTCTGTCTATCACTAAAATATCTCACTGGGGGAAACCTGTCGAAAGTAAACAATGGGTGAAATTTTCAACTGATTCAAGATGGCTGCCTCAAACAACTAAACTGGAAAAACACGTCTACAAACTCGGTTTATTTCTGGGATATTGAACTAAAATTTAGAGAAGTTGTAGTTGGAGCTGGTTCCCTACACATCCTCTGAGCATTAACACATTGTGTGAGATCCTAATTTAAAGTTTTGACAATAACAATTTGAAGTCAACTCTGCCTTTTATGATATCTCATGAACCATTGAACGGATTTTAATGAAATTTCCAGGAAACAGTTAATGGATGTAGATCAACAGTTGATTTAACTTTGAGAGCTAGTCCAATTCAAGATGGCCACTACGGTCAATTGGCCTTTGAAAACACAAAAATGGTTTTAATTCAGTCAATTTTACAAATATTGTGCAAATATGTTGTGTGTTAGTAGTTGAGAGTTGTTCGCAACACATTTTTGGCCTATAAGTCACGTTTTTTTTTTTTTTTTGATGAAGCGACTTATTTATGGTTTTTCCCATATTTATAAACCAATTTTTGGCTGAGATCTGACCGTTTTCATTCATTCTGACTGAAAATATTCGACACTACCATTTTCAGCCGCTAGATGGCACTCGAGTAGTATGGCATGCTGTTGTGTCATGTAATAGCTAAAAGTGGATATTAATGACACAATCGGCTTGCCATAGACTGCCACCTTCATCCAGCTCGCCTGGAGCAACCGTCACATTAGCTTCATTTTGCTGCGCCGCCCTGGCAAAATGCAGCTAGTTTGACCATTGAAGTGCATTTATTAGGTAAAAGGTCAACTGAGACACACCTTTGCTACAATTTTGAGCAAACAAATAACTGTTTTAAGTGTTAATCTTGTTAAATTCTTGTTAAAGTCCTCCCGTGCAAGCTTCCACGGTCACCATTTGGCAGCCAATCGATTTTTGGCACAACGCCAGCCCACATTTCCGAGTTCGGCTCACATTTCTGGGTTGTCAGCGGTGACGCATAATAGATGCGATTTGTACGGCGAAGCGATGTATTTATGGGTTTTTCCACTTTATTAGACATTTTTGAACTGATGCGACGTTTAGGGTGGTGTGATGTGTACAGCGGAAAATATGGTACTCCGAGTGCTGCTCATTGACCAAGCTCTCTACCTAAAAGTTTAGCATTATCTTTTGAAGCTAGTCCTTTGTCTGTTAGCAAAATAGCTCATGAACCACTGAATGGAGTTTAATGATGCTTTCAGAATATAAGGAATGAATGTGCATCAACAACTGGTTAACTTGGGGAGAAAATCCAAATCAAGATGGCCACCAGAGTGAATCAACATTAGTCCGTACAAAATTAGCTTTGACTCGGTCAATTTTGCAAACACTGAGCTAAAACTTGATTTGCTGAGTCGTTCATGCTTTTGCTGTTTTACAAAAACAACAAAAGCGTCATCATTCCTCAGCATGATGATCTTGGTCTAAAACTCTGGCATGGAAGGAATGCTAAGCCTTCAGTTTGAATTAGTGTTTTGTTTACTAAGGATGAAGTTGTTAGTTTGAACACACCTCCCTCTGTGGTGTTGCTCTGGACCCACGTGGAGACCGGGGAGGACCCCACCTCGTTGCTACAGGAAACGCTCATGTTGTACCTCGTCATGGCTTTCAGCCCGGGGACTTCACAATGGAAAGGCGGCACGGTGATGTTGATGAGTCTGGTTGTCGTCACTTCGCCTTTCCTCCGACTCACTTCCTTAACCTTGGGACGTGAAGCAGAGAGGAGGTGATCGATATGATGCCATGATGATTGAACCGTTCGTCCAGCGCTGAAACTTACCTTGATTTGACATTTGGTGAGTGGAGAGAAGCCGTCATGTCTGGGTCTCCAGCTCAGCCTCAACTTGTTGGACTGTCTTTCCACCACGGTAACATTAAACACCGGACTGGGAAGAACTACAAAACGCAACACGGAAATAACTTAATCAGATAATTGGGTTTAATAAAATGAGATTTGGAGCTTCATATAGTCAATTTATGAAGAATTTTGAGGTTTAAGTTAAAACAAATCTTTGTTTTACCTTTAATGTTAATGTGGGCCTCTCTGGACGTTGAGACACCCTTTGCATTGTGAGCTTCACAGCTGAACCGGGTGTGCCCGTCAACACCTGGAGGAAACAAAGTGGCACTATTTAGATGCTGTTTTACTGTGAGAAATCCTAAAGTGCAAACAAAATAAAATAAATAAATACAGGAAATATTGTTTAATTGTGTGAATGCTGTTAAGTAATCACACTATTGAGATCCTGTTCAAGTGTCTTCTATATGTTTTTAGTATCTAACTCATCCTGCAGTTTTTAAGCGACATATTTCAGGAATTAAGGTATCAAAACGCTTATTTCAGCTTTTTATGCTTCCTTCAGCTGTTTTTCTGCTAGTTTGAGCTTTTTCAGCTAATTTAACCTTTAATGTGATCATTTTTTTCTGTTTAGTTCATATTCTATAAGCGTCTGTCTGCTCATTTCAGCTTTTTTGTTGTTTTTCAGCCTCTTTTTAGCTGTTTATGTCTTCTTTTAGCTTCTTTCTGCTAATTTGAGTTTTTTAGTTTATTTTTGTCATCTACTTTTCCACTGATATCAGTTTTTTTACATTTTCATTCATTCACCAGTCATTCATTTTTAGATAATTTAAGCTAAAATTAGATGTCGTAGTAGCTAAAAGTGATCCTCAACACAACCTGATGGCTAAATAAAAATCAATATGGCAGCCAAAGATAACACACACTGATTTTAAGGTCATGGGGTCAAAGGTCACTCCTTTCTTTAAACATCTATATGGGGAACCCTTTCACATAGAAATCTCAAAGTTGACACCTGAACACCTCATGGGTCAACAAAGCTCTCTATTGATTATTTGGTTAAATTTAACAGTGTTAAACTGGATTTACCAGTTTTGCAACTTTTTGCTCTTGATTATTTTTTTCTGTATTCCTTTAGCATTTTGCTACAGTACATTTAGCTCTTATAGTATTTAGTCCTACCTGCTTTTTGCTATCATTTTAATACTTTTTGCTCTAAACTAGATTTTTCATGCTTTTTGGCAAGCATTTTGCTACTTATGCTTCAAAGCTTTATGGTGCTTTTTTTAACTAGCGTTTTTCTACTTTTGACTCAGTTTTTTTAGGGCGGCTGTGACTGAGTGGTTAGAGCGGTCGTCCTCCAATGGGAGAGCTGGAGGTTCGACTCCACCAGCAGTCACATGCCGAAGTGTCCCGGGCAAGACACTGAACCCCTCATTGCCTCCGATGTGTGTCCCATCCCTGTAAGAATGTGATAAAGCTCTGATTAATCTTTGTACAGAAAAAGTAGAGTGCTGTATGAATGGGTAAATGAGGGCACAGATTGTGTTGTAAAGTACTTTGAGTATCTTGATAAGGTAGAAAAACAATATATAAGTACACTCCTTTTTTTTTTTTTTTTTTTTTGCTTTTTTCTAGCATTTTCCCATTTTTGATAGCTTTTCACAACTTCTGCCTCTAAGCTAGCATTGTTTTGCTTTTTTGTTAGTGTTTTGCTACCTATGGATTCAAGCTATAGCGTTTTCTTTATTTCACGATAGACTTTCACTACTTCTAGTTTTAAGTTATGGTAGTTTTTTCCTGCTCTTTGCTAATTTTTCTTTACTCCTGATGTTTAGGTAGCAATTATTATTATTGTTTGCTTTTTACTAGCTTTTTTCTACTTGTGCCTTAATTCACATTACGTTTAGCTTATTTTTGATAAGTACTGCTTTTCTGCACATCTAAGCTTTTTTAACCTAAATTCAAATTTTGTGAGCATTTTTCTTTTTTCCTCCCTTTTTGTGCTTCTTGCAGCTTTATCTTTCAATTTTTTAGCTAGTAATGAATTTCAAGTAAACTCTCTTAAGCAGGTTCCAGCTACATCATTCAGCGACCGGTATTCACATTGCATTCTCGCAGGAAATGCAATTTCTCTTCTTTCTGCTGGTTTTGACCGATCTAATTCACTTTTGTTTTGTGACAAAAAATGTAATTCTGACATTAAAAAAAAAGAAAAATTAGAGCAGCCAGGCAGAAAATAATAGAAAATACACATTTAGTATAAATACCACTCTGATTATATCTCAAAACATCAAGCAGTAGGCTCAAATGGGCCTTTTCCAATATTACAGTGAGGTAATAACAGTCTCTCTTCTTGGACGAGCAAATTTCCATTTTCAGCAGCCAGAGTTCTGCTCAGCAAGAGTAGGACTGGGACGTGTGTAAAATAATATCCCTTTTGTGTTCCGTTTTCCTGCAATCCCCATCTTGGAAACATCAGCGCAGCCAGAGAGAGATGACTGGAACTAACTCTGCTAAGGAGAGTATCACAACCTCCTCATCACTGCTTTCTTAACATGCCGATCATAAAAAGTTTAGATTGTTTTTTTCTTGGTTTTTCTATTAAGGACTAATTGAGACAAAACCACAGTTTTATCAGCCAAGGTCAGTGCTGGTTATCTGTGATCCAAATGCTAGAACAGAAAGTAATAGGACTTGAAAACATTCCTTTTTCCCCTCTCAAACTCCTTTTTGAGTCTCATTCTTTAAATATTCTATGGATGATTAACAAAACAACAAGAGGAGCCAGGAAACATGAGTGCTTATCACATCGCTGGCAGCTTTTCAATGTTCATTCTCACTGACGGACTGAAACTCAGCCTTTGTTTGGTAGGAAAGTGTAAAATGTGTCCTGTGTTACTGTCCAAATACTGTAACGAAATATGTTGAGAAGTTTGAAACACAAATTTCACAAAACCCTGAAATTGCATGAACTCCTCCAGAGATAACTCTACAAAGAGTATACCCAAATTTTACTGAACTGTGCTAAAATCTAAATAATATTACTTTAGACCAGGGGTCTGCAAACTGCGACTCTGGAGCCACATGCGGCTCCTTGGTTCCTCTGAAGCGGCTCGTTCAAGCTTTGACCAAAAGCGACATAAAACTGAATTTTATTGGTTGATATACAAACAACAAAAAAGTACTAGTTTTAGCTGTTTTTTGTTTTATTTCTATACTTAATTGTTTTTTTTCCACCATTTAAAAAAAAAAACCCCACATAAGTCTGCACAGTTCATAGATTTTTTTTTTTTTATAAAAAAAAAAAACTACCCCACCACCACCTTTACAAGAATCTGGTCTTTTCATTTGTATTAAATTGTAAAGATATCAATAAATGTTAACGATCATTAGATATTTTTAGCTTTATTATGTCGACACTGGCCTCAAAAGCCTCCTCCAAAAAAACTTAGGCAAGTGGCCCATGGGCCACCAGTTGATAATCACCGTTGTAGCAGGTTGTTGCGGCTCTGGACACATTTAATTTAGTAAATGAAGTTGTAAAAATGGCTCTTTTGGTCGTAAAGGTTGCAGACCCCTGCTTTAGATGTTTCATTGTATTGTAAATTTTACCATTGTGGTGATTATTGAGCTTCACCTTCCAGCTCAGCTGTCTTTTTACCAATCAGTCTACATTCCTATCCTCCGCTGTGGTCACAAACTCTGCGCAGTGACCAAGACAACAAGATTTTGGATACAGGAAGTCAAAATGAGTGTCCTCTGCAGGCTGGACTTTCTCTCTGAGCGCCTGCGTAAGAAGTTTGATTATCTGGGAGAGTCTCAGAGTAGAGCCACTGCTCCTCCACATCCAGATGAGCCCATTGATGTGGTTTGAGCATCTGGCGAGGATGTCCCCTATAGACGCCTACCTATCACTTCTTGCAGCTTCACTGTATCACAGGTTTTTTAAACCCAGTTTTTTATACTGTGTGTACTGTACATTCATCTCATCGTTATCATCATCATCGACCAAGTGTTTAAGAGCATATGAAGTGTTTATAAGGGAGTGGGAAAGGTTTGTAGGTTTATAAAGCCTTAAA